CTTGAGCTCGTCGATGAGGCCCATCTTGCGGATGACCTTGATGGCGCCGTAGTTGACGTCGACGTTGTGGCCCTGGCGGAGGAGGGCGGCGCTCTTTTCGAGGACGGTGACGCGCGCGCCGGTGCGGGCGAGGAACCAGGCTAGTGTTGGGCCGGCGATGCCTGCGCCGCTGATGAGGACGCGCATGTTTGGCTGTGTGGGTGGGAGGCTGTCCATGCGAAGATGTGTTTTGGGGGTTGTGGACGGTGTTCGCGAAAGCTGGATCTTGGCGGGTGATGAACGTATTAATAGTTGTGATGTTTCTTAGTCCGTTTTGGTATTAACAGGTGTTGTCTCTAGCGCGCCGAAGCGCATTCCACGGCGCACCAATGATCGCAGAGAATCTAGGAGATTTTGGTATTAATCTGATCCTTTGTGCACGATGCTCATGCTGTGGCTGATCCTGCGCCCGCTGTCTCAGTCGACACCAGTGTCCCCGTCTTCTTACTCTTCGTTCATGATATATTGTTCGCCTTCTCAAAATAGACTCTCGAGTACGGTGATTGTTTCTCGAAAGCACAAGCTCTTTGTCAACATCACTAATACAGTGTCAAGATGTCAGTAGCTTGTTGAGGACATCGTGATCATGCGAATAGGACATAGAAGTTTGTCTTGAATCACGATGTGATCCAGGGGTTGAAGTCAGCGCTGCAGCGACTAGTCCCGGTGCGGCGTAAGCCCATCTGTCCGAGATCCGTAGTCCGACCGACCTCTCTGCTCCGGGGCGATCCCGGATTTTCGAGCCGTCGTTGCACCGATAGATTACTCGGGACCGAGAGATGGATACCTCTTCCCCATGTGCCAAGCCGGGCGCCAGGGGGAGCTTCTGGTGTGCAGCCCTACGCGTGAATCGGCTAACCGGCAGGGTGTGCTGACACTAGATTATCTACTAGCGCGCCGCTGATATGGGACTGTGGAAGTCGTTGACGTAGTTGATTGAAGTGTGCAGATAGAAGAAAGATAACCCATTTTTAGCCATGATGAAGGGCTGAAGATCGAGATTGCCCTCCATCGAGGAGAAAATCGTTGAGAGCTTGAGGATACGAAACCAAATGACGCAGGAATGTTTTCTAGAACTAGGAGCTAGGTAGACATAGCATATCAAAGACCTGTCATCCGCTAATCGCAAGCAAAAGTAGTTTGAGATGTGCTCTTATGTTCACATGGTCGTCGAGATAGATGTTTGCTTGCGAATGTTGCCAAGACTCTTCAAGCAGCTCGGTCGCTTAGCTCCCGCAATGGCGACACTAGGCAGAGCTGTTTTGTCATCGGCTATGTGTACTTCTGGTTGAGCTTGAACGTCATCTTTGAATAAAGGTGTAAAACTCCATGAAGCATTCAAAGTCAGCCATGGTCAGTGTCTTTCCCACGTTCTGGCGGCGTGGCATATTCGTCGCTAGCGGCGAAATAATAGACGAAAACCTATCACGTATAAGTCGGTAAGAGATCTTTGATCACTGCCTTCAGTCAGAGGCAATTTGTTGATGTAGCTGGTCGTCGCGTGTAGTTGATTCTTATAGTGTAATTAGATGTATACCAGGAGCTAAAAACCAGGGTTTTTTAATAATATAAGCATATATAATTTCCCTAATTATTAGCTTTTTAGGGCACTTTACTAAATTTAACGATACCCTCCTTATACTAATACTAGCTTAGTTTTATAAAAAGTTACTCTATAAGACCTTAAATAAGATAGTATACTTTAGGAATAGCTAGTATAGTTTTAAGAGATTCAACTATCTAGCCTAGTATATTAAAAAATAGAGCTAATATTAGGATTTAAGTATTAAAGTAGACTTTATATATCCTTATTCTATATTAATTATATTCTAAATATTAAAATAAATACCTCTTAATAACTTATTATTATTATTAATATTATTACTATAGCTATAGCTATAGCTATTATAGCTCTAATTAATAATATTATTAATAAGTTTAGCTTCTAAGTAATTTAATACCTTAGTAATATAAAATAAGTATTTAAATATACTATTNTTTTACTACTATATAGTAATTATAATAACTTCTATTAGATATTTTATATCTTAAAGAGGAACTTTATAAATATTATAGCTTAGCTATAATATTATAACTTTATTAAGGATATTTAGTATTAAAGCTTTAAGTATAAACTAATAATTAGTTTATATATATTAAGTTAAAAAATATATTAGTATATAATTTTAAATAAATTTTAAATAGTATAAAGTACTATCTTAGAGATATATTAATAAGTACTTACTAGTTTTATTACCCTCTATAATAAGGTTATTAAGTAATTAGATACTTTATATATATCACTTTAGATTAAGCTAAAAAATAAATATAGCTACTTTATAAGCTATATTAAAGTAATAAATAGAACTCTCTTATCTACTTATATACTTATATAGATAAAAAAGAGGTTTATTAGTTATAAAGACTAGTTATAGTAAAATATACTTTATATAATCTAATTTAATAGAATATTTATATATATACTAGTAGGTATAGAAGGATTTATAAATAATATAGTATTAATATAGTAGGTATATAGTTAATTATTTAACCTATTAGTAGGTTAGTATTACTTTAGAGATATTAGATTTACCTATAAGAGAGATATCTTAATGCCTTTCTTTAATAAGAGGTATCACTAAACTAAAATAAAAGCTTATATTAATATAATATTAGTAAAAGAGGTATATAATATACTTTATATTAGTAAAAAGGTGAGGATTAAAAACCTCTTTAGTAATATAAAAAAGTAGTAGCTTCTACTTAAGAACTACTTAATAAAGTACTTCTATAAAAATTAAATTAAAATAATATATATAATAACTATAGTTTATAACTTTATTACTTTTAAATAGTAGGATAATATACCTCTTAACTTTATATAAGATTAAGTGTTAGAAATAGTAAGAAGGTAGGTAAATAAAGTAATTAGTATAAAAGTTAATAAAGTAGTATAGTATAATATAGTAATCTAAGTATAAGAAGCTCTTAAGGTGAAGTAAGCTTAAAGGAGGAATAATAATAATAATAGGTATAATAATAATAATAATATAATTAAAGTAGTTATATAGTATAAGGTTAGCTAGTAAAGTAAGTTATTAATATTAATATTAACTTTAATATTAGAGTTAATACTAGAGATAGAGAGAAAAAGAGCTCTTTTTTTAATATAGTTAATTTAGTAAAAAAGGCTAATAATTATAGAAAAAAATTATATATTATTTAATAACTAGTAAATACTAATAAATAAATTAATAGTTAGTTATTAAGTATAATATTAAGCTTATTTAACTATAGTTCAGCTAAAAAAGCCTCTTTCTTATTAATTAACTTAATACTTAACTAAGTAACTACTTTTAATATATAAGCTCTAAAATATTAAATAATATATAATACTATACTAGTTTTAATATAATACCTAAATAATACCTAAAAATCATAGTTTACTATATTAATATTACTTAACCCTATTTTATAAGGGGTAGAGATTACTTCTCTAAGTTAATTAATTCCCTACTTAATATACTTACTAAATTTATTAAACTAATAACTTCTCTCTTTACTTTACTTTATTAAGTAGTATTAAACTAGCTCTACTAATAAAGTTATAGTAAGTATAATAATATTTACTATAAGATTATCCTTAAGGTTATTAAAGTTTAATTACTTCCTCTTTTAGTATTAAGAGAGCTTATTAAAGGTTACTCTAACTTCTTCTATTTTATCCTTATTATTAGAAGTAATCTTAATAGTATTAATATTACTTACTTTAATAATAAACTAGCTTATTAATACCTAGTTAAGCTATAAGACTTTATACTTATTAATAAATAGAAAGCTTTTCTTTCTAATAGCTTATAAATAAGAGTTCTTAGTAATAAAGTCCTATTAGTAATCTTCTAATATATATATTATATTAGACTTATTATTATACTTAATACCTAAATAGAGGAGGCTTTTAACTTTATACTACTTATATAATAATAACTTAAACTTATTAATAAAGGTCTTCTAAATATATCCTAATAGTTTTAAGAACTCTATTTATATTTATAATAAGATATTATTTATTATATAGTTAATATATAAGCTTTAATTATTAAATAAGTTCCCCTTATTAACTTATTCTTAGGTTAGGATAAGGAATAGTTATAAAACCTTATAAAACTAAGTAACCCTTACTATTAATAAGGAGTAAGAGGTATAATATTAATATAATAGTAGTAGGGGTATCCCTATATCCTCTCTAGTATTAGAGATCCCTATATTATCTTAAATACTATTACTTTCTTTATTATTAAAAAGAGTACCTAAGATTATTATTATAGTAGCTATTATTATTATTACTATCTAATTATAAAAGAAGATATAGGAATTAATAAACCCCTTATCCCTCACTTTTTTCTATAAAGAATTTAATATTAATAAAGACCTTATACTAGTGATCTATTTATAGTAAAATAATATATTAAGAAAGTAGTGAATTAATACTTTAATTACTAGTTATAGTAGTATAATAAAGCCTCTAAGATAGTGGTAGTAGGGGTTAAAAGTCCTGGTTTTTAGCTCCTAGTATATATCCGATTATACTATTAACGCTAAGACTAACCTATAGACCTTGAGCCTCCCACTTCACATAAGAAAACACAGAAGTTCTTAACTTGAAATGACGTTCATGCCTAGACCTATTGGGCTTTCAGTGGTTTACTGCAGCCTCACAAGAGTTCCGAACGCTCCGACAGAGGAATGTTGACGTGGCCTTTGCCTGTTTAGACTTCAACGCTTAGTACTTGCATTAAGTAAAGAATTAACTCCAACGCTGTGCTGAATCTGCTCCGTACTACCCTCGTCTCCGACGCATCGAGGACTCATGGGATAGTTGAGGGCGTGAACCAATGTGCCATCACCTCCAACTCCACGTCTTAAACTGACAAAATCACACCGAAGCCGCCCTGATATCCTCACTTCCTGACCCAGCATCCCGAAAACGCAACCCTAACAAACGTAGGCTCTGTCCTGTTCGAACCCCAAATGTCCTTCAAGAAGTCGGCACAGTGCTCCGTGTGGTACGAATTCACGATGACACCGTCAAAGACCCTCCGCTCCTCGAACATGGTCCAGAATTGCTTCTTCCAAAGCATCGAGCAATGGTTGACGTGATCCGCGATGGACGTGTAGTACGACTCCTGATCTCCCATCTCCTCTCTCGTTAGGCGCTTCGTCAGGTTGACGCTACGCAAGTGTCGCAGGATCAGCAGACCGTTCTCCGCCAGAGACGAAAGTTCAGACCAGGGAAAAGAACTTACTCCGAATACGCGTGCCAGGTATCGTCATCCATGTACTCCGTCTCAAACTCCTTATCGTAACACTGCTCTGGGACCCAGTGGTTCAGCAACGTGTCGTACTTGCACCCCGCCTTCTTCGCCTCCGCCGTCGAGTTTCCGCACATCACCAGCTTCGCCTCGGATGTCATGTTGTGTGTTGCCGCGAGGTACTTCGGGTCCGGAATCGTCCCCGCTTTGCCGTCCTGTCCAACTTGCGGCAGCGGTAGCGGCAACCCCGACATCGATGGCGGCGTCGGCATCATCGCCGCTGTGCCCGGTGACGGTGTCGACGGAGCCTGCTGTTGAGGTCCGGGTATGAACGAAAACGCCAGCACCCAGACCAGAGAAGTCGCCAGAAACACGAGAAAGTCCCTCAACCACCTCCGCGTCCTCGACGTCTTCAGCGCATGCTGTTGGTGCAGCATCGCATTGCCGCCCGCGACGCCCTGCTCCTCCTCGTCGTCCGCCGAATTCCTCTTGTTCGGGTCATCGCGAAAACCCAAAAAGGGCTGGTGGTCTTCGTTGTCTGTCTCGGGCTTCATCATGTTCTGTGGGGTACGTCGAAGCAGGAAAAATGATGCGCGTCGATCGTGTTTGATCTGGAGTAGGGAAACAATATTTTAAATTTCGCCGCTGAAGAAACAACTAAACCAGCCCAATGTCCCTGCAGGCAGTTTTTAGGACTTCGCCTCCTGCTTTTACTGCTATGCACGACATGAACCTAAGCGTGCGCGCTGTTTTATGTAGCCATGCGAGCGTTTTGGACGCCAGACCAATCCGGTTTCAGAACCATCCGAAGAGTCGGCGCTCGTCCCAAGGTCTGCTGTTTTTCCACCCTATGATCGGGCCTCGTGGCCGGGATGAGCAGAACCAAGAATGGTGCGAAACATGGTTGAGACGTATTTACCACAACTACTGGCATGTGTTCTTGGTTGATGCACTGCCCCGGAGTGATATTGTCGATCATTCCGCTCGCGGGAGTGCTCCGGCGATCCGTCTCCGAGAACTGCCTCCGATTGTGGGGCCGCATGATCGGCTGCACCGCCCTGATGGAATGGCTCGCTGTATCGCTATCCAGGCCAGCATTGTCTCGACACATGAATTCTCCTTAAACCTTGGCGTTGTGGTTCACCTCAACTTGCTCCGCATCAGATTGAGGACGATCAGCCTGACCGAACCCCTCGCCGTCGCTGTCAGAGCCATGCAGCTCCCCGGGAAGTCTATCCTTGACAAGCAAAGAAGCCCAAGTGGTGGCAGGAACAGCAACATAGAAAACAACCACAGACACAATTAGGTTGGTCATCAAAGATGCACTGCGCACTGAGCCGACTGCGTACGACAGCGCCGAGCCAACAGACTCTCCTGAGCGAAGGACACCCATAGACAACGCGATGGTATCCGCTTCGACGTCGAAAGTGCCGAGAACCCAGTAAAGCCAGACTCCGACAGTCTCATACGCAATACTAAGCAAGCATTGGATGTCAGAATAAAGGGGTCATAGGGTGTTGGACATGTTGGCTTACCGGTAAAGAATGAAGATGGCAACTCCTTCCCCGAAACTGGGGCTGCTCCAGTCAATCTCCCCGGGACTCTCACGCTGCCATCGCTCCTGCACAACAATGTTCCAGATCCAGACAAGCGTAAAGAGAGCGAGCAAGAAGTACCAACTCCAGCGTGCTTGAGTCGTCCGACGCAGGTGCTTCGTGTCCAGCCACCAGCCGGCGAGGAGGTTGGAGATGGCGCCGACGATTGCAATCAAGAAACCAGAGAGCGTGCGCGCGCGGACCGTGAAGTAGGCCGCCATGTAGTTGCCCTGATATGTGACGCCCCATTGCGCGGTGATAAAGGCCGGGATCAACAGCAGCACCTCCTTGCGTTTAAATTGCGCCAGAAACGCTTTGAGCTGCACCATGAAAGAGCGTTGAGAGTTGGCGAAGACAGGCTTCCTGCCATCCTTGCGAATGAGCTTGTCTGGAGGGGCAATCAGGAGAGAGAGAGGAAGGCCCAGGCACTGTATGGCGACAAGGACGAGGTAAGTTGAGGGTGCGATCGCGCCGGTTGTGTCGCCGTCCTTGTTTATGGCGAGTTGAATCGCGGTTGCGATGATAGAGCCGAGTTTGCCTAGGGCCATCCAGATACTAACTAGATCAGACGTTGTGTCAGATATTCTTCATGATAGGTCATAAAGTTTCATTGAAGACGTACTGCAGGTGCCTCTTCGAGCAACTTCAGGATAGCCAACCGCAATCGCTGCTTCGCCGGGCCAGAGAGCAGCTGCCTGTACTGAAGTCAGAAAAGCTTTTCTGGATGTTGCGTATGAATGAGCGAACCGAGAAGCCGCATGTGACAGCGCCAAAGATAAGGAACCATTGGGTACCCCAAAGAGAGTTGCAGTACAGCGCAGCAGAGTACGGCACATAGCCCAGGGTTCCGAAGACGACAATCCACTTCAGACCGATCAGGTTGCCGACAATGCTTGCCAACGGGGAAAAGAAGACCATGATGCTGCAACATAGTTAGCACGATCTTACTCTCAAGTTTTGAGTGTCCTGAAGACTTACACAAACGTGATGACGTTGACAGCATTGACAACGTAAGGCTCAGCTTGGCCGCCAGCACCGAGATCTGGACAATGTTTTTAGCACTGAAGACCAGAAGGAAATGGAATCCCAACGTACTGTTCATGGCGGCCCATATTCCCGGCTGCGTGAAGCTGATCAGACCCAAGAGCACGGCTTGGAAGATCGTCCCGCGGTAGACGTCGTGGGTCTTGCTCCATAGCGTTGGAGACTCAGCAGTGGATTGCGCCATGGCGGTTCGTCTTGATCTTTGAAAGGGGACAGCCTTTCAAGATAATTGAACGGCGAAAACTTGAGCATTTTATCGCAAATTCAAACGAACCTGGGCATATCTCAAGCGAGCCGCCACGGCGCGATAACGGCATTGCGCTATGGCAGGACTCGATGGTATCACTGCACCAAGTGGATGCCACCCGTCAACTCGATCTAGACCAGCCAGCGAATTCTCCATCTACTTTCCGATGCGACGTTCTACAGGCAATAGAGTGGAAACAAACAAAGAAAAGCGCCGAGGAATTGGTGCAGTGGCATGGATGGTTTTCCCCGATATCTACCCGACCCGTGGTCACGTCATATCCCTTGTCGAATCATCAATTCTCAAAGTCCAGCCAACAGGCGCAGTTTGCCATTTTGGGTGATGCTAATTGTCCGACTGGGTCCAGTCTACGCACAAATCGCGTTTGGTACGCAGAAGGATTCATTGGGGTCCGAAACCGCGAGGTACTTATTGACCTCTCTAAAGTTCTTCCCAGGAGTCATATCACTCTGGCAATGTAGTTGATGCGGACGGAAGACTCCACATACACAGTAAACCCACGTAAAGAATCTGGAGTTTCAGAGGAACAAACATTACTATTATCATATTTGTTCTACATAGCGCTCGATTTAATTAGTACTTGAAAGCTCTCATAGTGGAGCTTGACCCTCAATCCGCCACCTCACAAGTAGACGTAGCAGAAAGGCCCAGCAACAGTGCTCATGGCATCTCTGATCTTCAGCGGTTCACCACCAACCCACCCATACTCCAAGAGGTCGTCCATGGTGGTGTTGGCACTGGGAGGCTGGTCCAGGAAGGTGTTAGTGCCGCTCAAAGCAATGTCGCCATACTGACGCTCTTGAGGGGACAGCATCTGCCACATCCACCACACTCGGTCAATCATGGAGTGGTGGAGGTAGAAGGCAGGGTCGCCAGGGGAGGTGAAGACATCTCTTCCTGGGTCTCCGCCACTGTTCACGTTGTTAGCAATTCAGGCGTTCCAAAAGCGGTTGATCTCGGCCAAGACTTACAGAGCGTAGTGGCCACCACCGTGAATACCGATGTTACCCGAGCCAGGAACACCCTGCATTTGCATTTGGAAGTCGTAAACATTCTGTGGCTGGAGGATGTTTGAAACTACGGCCGTAATGTTGGCGTATGCAAGATTGACAGCAGTGGTGAGGTCACGCTTGAGGCAGCGAGGGTTGTAGGATAGAGGACCGTCCGGATTGGCCTCGGAAACACCCCCGGGAAGGTCAAGTGCTGCAGGACCAAGATTGACTGACATGTTCCTGAACGGGCCGGAGGTCACACAGCCTCCACCAGTGCCTACAGGCAGATTGATAGGAGGGAGGCCATTTTGACCTCCGAGAATGATATCGTCTCGGTCAGGGATGAACTCGCCGTCACCAGAGATTGACGTCTCACTGCCATCGAAAATGGGCGACTTTTCCATGCCCGTGACGGCAGTCTTCGTCCAATCCCAGTACTAGCGCAAGATGTCAGCAGTTGGAAACTATGATTGGGAAATAATATTCTTACAGGCTGTGTGCCTTTGTATCCGCATTCGTTCTTGAGAGCCTCTTCGTAAAGCCATGTGAAGTATCGATGCCACGAGAGGAAGTTCCCCGTGTAATGTATGGTCAACGTCTGATTGATGTGGGTAGCCACGAAGTCATCGAAGCGAGTCTTTGCCCCAGGAGCCGCTGACGAGGGAGTCAGCGCCGGCTTCGATTGCAGGCACTTGGCTGCACTGATGTAGTCAAGTCTTTCTTGTCGGCTCAAGACGCCCCTGGTGGCTTTAGTGTACGGAGAATTTAAGACGACATGCGTACGTACCATTCTCTGCGGATTCGAATATTGTGCCAGCCACAAGTACCGGCGCGTTTCTGAGTCTTGCTGCCATCAACTGCAGATTTCGTTTTGTCGTAGGCAGCTTGGGCGAGCGATGCAAGCTGCTGGAACCCATCATCAGCGACTTGCCTCACCTCAGGACCCATCGAATCTGGCACTGGGCTGCCTAGAATTGGCAGGGCAACTTGAAGGCCTAAGAAGGCAAAGAACGAAGGCTTCATGTTGTCGGGCAGCTTTACAAGCAATCTTGAGGAAACCTAGAAGGAGACCGTGGGCCTCGAAAATTACTCTTCTGCGAAGTGATCTGAACAGTTCGAACAAAGAAGAAGAGAAAATGACAACAGGGCATGCAGCAGGACCCAGGCGACACGAGAATATATGCAGAGTCCGAAGGACCCTCCCCGTCGGGTTGCCGAACAGCGCCAAGAAGGCACAGAAGACCGAAACTAAACATTAGCGACATGATTTTGCTTATTCAAGCGAGTAAAGGTGGAGAATTTGGACCTAGCAATGCAAACTAGCCATGCAGGCACGTAACATCGCCAAGTAATCAATTCTGTCTGGCTGCAAGACTCTCGCAAGTTGCTGGATAGGCCAGCCCTATCCCACAGGCATGGCGAGCGCGGGGGTCTTCACCGTCAAGGTCTTTGCTTACTTTGACAAGGGCCATGACTTAAGAGAACCAGTCGCGAGCCCGGTTGCGGAGGACCTCCTGGAATCAGAAACGAAGCCGATTGGAAGGCTCGCAGATAAAGCCCGGATAAAATAGATTGGGTTATGGGGACCACCAACAAATCGCCAACAGCCAAGCAACCATCGTGCGATGCTGACAGCCTCGGTAAAGGTGGCTGGCATTACCCATCCCGAGCCTTGCATGCATTGAGTTCTGACATATAATGACGCTAGATGCATCTTCTCGATCTTTGAAGTGTGTCGGTAGTTGATTACCAACATTCCCACTGGTGTATAAGCCGCTTCCGATCACCAAAAACTGTTGGATAGGCCTGCTTACTGAGGATACTCTGAAATTCTTCTTGTATTCTAACTGCCTCATGACTCGTCAAACCTCGCAACATGTGTTGTAGATGAGATGTAGGAGGTAAACGACTGGTGGGCTTTTGGGACATGTCTCTATTTTAGACTCATGTTCTCAAAAGACTGCTTCTAAGTTCTGCGTTTGAATGTCAAAGATATGGTCGATGTACATCTAGCCAATGTTATATCGTCTGATGCTCCCTGCGGTGACGTCCATATCTCTTCATGAAATCCTAAGCTAAGACTTCCACATCTTCATCTTCTCGTTGGTAGAATCTCGTCGAATCGGCACCCCAAGAGCCTCATAAACCTGAGCCACATACTCTCTGACCGCAGCGTTGCCCGCGGTGCCAGGATCCATCTTGTTCATCGTATAGCTAATCGTGATGTGACGGTCAATGTCGTTGACCGTCATCGAGCCACCCCAGCCACCCCAGAAGCAAAGTCTGCCCTCGGGGATCCAGGAGTCAATGATGGCATCTCCGTTGCCTCTGATGCCCAGGCCAGTACCAAAGCGGACCACTTGACCTATAGCCAGATCCGTGCCATATGCCTGCTCCTCGAAGATTAGATCGATTGTTTCCTTCGAAAGCAGTCGCTTGCTTTCGTCGCTGATTGTAGCCGCCTTGGACCAAATAGTCGCAAGACCCTTGCTGTTGGTGTGTCCATTTGCCGCTCCGATCTCAGCTTTTCTCCACTCTGGTGAGTTGCCAAAACCGGCATCCGGGAAGGGGTTGAACATCTTTGCCATGAGTGAGTCGGGAGGGGGCATCTCCGCCTCGCTGGGTGGAACGAAAGGCGGAGGAGGAACCAACTCCGCAACACGGGGCCAGTCTTCCTCCTTAGCACCGATTTGAAAATCCGCACCAACGGGTCCAGCAATCTTTTGAGCGACAAATTCCTTCAGGCTCAACCCCGTGATTCTGCGGACAAGCTCGGCGATAGGGTAGCCGTATGTCCAGGAGTGATAGCCGGAAGCCGTGCCGGGTGTCCAGCGCGGAGCTTGCTGCGCAATCCTGGAGGTCATGAGCTCAGAGTTACAGAGGTCTGCCACTACTGCGGGCGCCTCCAAAATGGCCAGTCCAGAAGTGTGGGAAATTAGATGGCGGACAAGAACATCTTCCTTTCCATTGACGGCAAATTCGGGCCAGTACTTGGAAACCTTGTCGTTGGGAGATAGCTTTCCGTCGTTAATGAGCAAGAGGATTGCGAGAGCGGAGACGGTCTTCGTTGATGACCAGACGTTCACGATCGTGTTTTCTTCCCAGGGACGCGTGCGGGCTGCGTCGGCATATCCACCCCAGAGGTTCACGACGTCTTTACCATCGATGATGACCGTAAGAGAAGCCCCGAGTTCTTCTCCTGACTCAACGAACTCCTGGAATTTGGCGCGGACCCGTTCAAACTTGGGGTCGCAGGTACCGTGTGCTTGAGCCATAGTGATTTGGTGGTAAGGGTTGTTAGAAACTGATGTTGGTGAGGTAAAAGTTGAAGACAAGAGTGTGGTGCACACTAAAAGGGATGACGATCCCTTTAAAGCTTTTGGTAACTTCGACTTAACAGATGCGGACTGGTGCTTTTGGAGAGCGGAGTTGCGGGTTGAACGAGGGGAAGTCAAACTCCGCCCGGACGGACGATCGGCCGTTTACAAACCGCGAAGGTGTTAGTAGCGGGACAATCCCTCGGTTTCAGTTCCAACTTCCCCATAACAGGGTTCCATCTTGGACGGGTCCTGGCGGCCGCTCCAGTTCACTCACTGAAGTCACTGTGGAGTTCTGGAGATACAGTGAGAAAGCGTCCCCTGTCTAGGTCGATCGTTCTCACCAAAATGATTCGTCAACCTACTCTCAGCGCAGCAAGCTACATCCTTCGCTTCACATGCGACATTTGGCTCGTTCCCGTCTTTGGCTACAACCCCGACATACTGGAAGGCTATGCTTTCAGCAGCCATTGTGGTTGGTGTGTGAGGATAGAAATCTGATAGTCTGGTTTTAATGTCGACCGAGTCATGTAAGTCGCATTCAGATTATCGTAAACTGGAAATCAGTTCTGTTTCCTCCATACCAGCTGTGAATCATGATTCTCGGAACGGCTGTTCTTTATTTGTTCAGTAACATGATATTCAGTAGAAGCATCAAGGTAATTATGCCATATTCCCAGCAAATTCACACACATTGAAAGACACAAGTAAGATGACGTTGCAACTCAAAACAAAGATAACCTGCCCGTCAGAGGTGGTGACATTTAGCAACTGAAAGCCTGACTGAAACAAACTTGCAGCATTTGTTTGGGGAGGCCAGGGATTATTTCAGGAGGAAACTTGCGCACAATCTGCACAGTTCCATTTTCAATATTCTTCCTAAATCCTATTGATACATGTAGGCCTGCCTTATGATCATTTGGTTGGCATGTCTGCGGAAGAAAGGCTTGCCAACACCCTCGCAAGTAGAGCCCTCTTCGTACTGCTTGATGTCCCTTACTTTGAAAATTGCTAAACGGCAAAGTCTTCTCAAGTTATCTCTCCCTTTCTATTAAGTTGCGTTTTGGTGCCGCATCAGCCAGTAAGCATTGAAATTCTGTCGGAAGATAATCCCTGAAGTGCGCCGCGAATCTGTATGGATGGCTTCCTTCAGCTGATAAGCTGTTACTGTGTAGGTCTTCCGGAAATGAAGTGTACATATTTCTTTCAGTTCTAGGTACAGATGGCACTCGTCCCAGGTGGTTAAGCCATCACTCTAATGCGTTTACATATAAGATCAAGCCGAAAGCAAGCGCTCTCGGGCTCGTAGAAACGCTGCGTCAGTAAGGAACATGAATGTTTATGTTGCGAAAATCCAATGCTATACACGCACGTGCTAACCATTCAGGAACCCGCCTGTTTTGGTGGATTCGCATATCAGCCAATGACCTCGCAGTCTCGCTTGATGTCTCTGCTACTGCAGGCCCAACTACCCCGCCCTGCAGTTGCCTGATGTTTTGTTGAGCTCTCCATTCTGCATTCATTCAAACTCGTATACACTCACCTTGGGCCAGAATCGAGTTTGAGCGATGTCCAGCTACAACTATCAGCCTATCGACCCAAACACCAACACGATCCGCCTTCTCCGCTTGTTTCAAGGTCGGCGATACTACAATGACGAGCTGATCTGCGGTGAGCTATTCGAGGCAGAAATCCCACACGATCGAGATGACACCTACGAGGCGCTTTCTTACACTTGGGGAGATCCGACACGGACCAAAACAATTGCCATCAACGACCAGAAAGTGGCAGTCACAACCAATCTGTACAATGCGCTTTTGCATCTCAGGGACCCTGAAAAGGATCGGATTCTCTGGGTGGACGCTTTATGTATCAACCAGCAAGATGCTTTCGAGCGCACACATCAAGTTGCAAAGATGAGCGTCATCTATCAAAAGGCCTGGGCTGTCGTCATCTGGCTCGGAAAGACAACTCGGGATATCGAACTACTTTTAGAAGCTACTAAAGCTTTGGACAAAGTAGTGCGAGGACGTCCAAGACCATCGAGTAACGCCGAACATTTGAAATCCTGGATTGACGAAGGCCGTCGATTCATTTCAGAGAAGAGGGCCATTAACCCTGACTTCTACGAAATCAGGCAACGGGCGATGAAGGAGTTGCTCAGCCGATCCTGGTTTCGCAGGGTTTGGGTCGTCCAAGAAGCCGCCTACGCCAAAACAGCCTATATTCAATGCTCTTGGATCTCGGTTCCCACAAGGGTGTTTTGCATGATGCCACATCTTCTGGACATAGATATGGATGCTCGCTCGCAAGCATTACTCGAAGTCCTGCCCGGCCCGCTGAGACAGAGCTCGTGGTGGAACGATACCCGAGACCTTAGCAATGTACTGCAAAAGTTCAGTTCGTCTGAATCGACAGACCCACGCGATCAAATCTTTGCTCTACTTGGTCTATCGTCCGACTGTGCAAAAGACGGCCGAGTTTTCTTGCCAAACTATGAGCTCAACACGCTGGAATGCATCCAACAAACGCTCTTCTTCCTGGCTTTCAGGGAAATCCCAGTTTCCGATTTGTTCTCTCTGCCAGATTGGGACCTAGAGACCTTTCGTCAAAAGTTGCCATCTCTAAGATTGTGCTTACTCGAGTGGGGAATCAGCCAGAATGACAACGGTGTCCCCCTCGTACGAAAGCTCCTTCGCGAAGGTCCTCGCTTCGAGAACTACCAGCAAGTATTCTCAGATGAACTTCCATTGAGTTATCTCATTTCAAATGGGAAACCAATGGAGATGATTCAGATCTTCCTGGAACACGACGATCTGGATGCTCGCCAGGCGAAGAACGGCCTAAGTCATGCGGCATCATTCAATCGCATCGATCTCACCCAAATGTTTCTAGGCCGCGAGGATGCGGATATCTTGTACAACATACAAGATATCAAATCCGCCCTTGAGTGTGCCATGCATTCTCAGGGCTGTGATGTAGCAGAGGCACTGTTATCTGCTGTGCGCCACCGTAAGGGAGGCCTTTCACAGGTATACGAAGGTTTACTTCTGTACCGAGCAGTCAAGTCTGGGAACACACGCGCTATTACCATGCTTGTCCAAAATGGGGTCCCTCCCGATATACCCATCCCCCACGACGAGGGTACGGCTATGCTAGCAGCTACCGATTACGAACGCACAGAAGCGCTAAAAGTACTTGCTCGTCTGGGAGTTGATATAAATGAAAAGGGTGTGTTCGAAACTCCTATATCCAGTGCAGCAAAAGGTGGTAATCTGGAAAGTGTCACCTGCTTGTTGGGCTTAGGAGTCAGGCTTCCAGCCGCGATCGTCGCAGATTGCACATACTGGTGGACCAATAGGGGATGCAGACCCGGACCGGAAACAGCTGTCGAAATGGTGGAGCTTTTGGCAAGTAAAGGTGTAAATCTTGAGATCAAAAATCCTTTTGGTTGGAACGCTTTGCTTTTGGCAATCAGCGCCAAGGATCGCCCCATGGTTGAGCTCTTAATCCGTTTGGGTGTTAATCTGGAAGTCGTGAACCAGAAGGGAAAGCGCGCCTTGCTTTATGCAGTTGAGTTGAACCACGTCATAATAGCAAGGCTCTTGGTCAAAGCTATGGCTGCGCTCCAGGAGGGATTGCATGAATTGCCTGCCTTTTATGCTGCTATACTTCTTGGGGAGAACAAAGTGGTACGTTTCCTTGGAGACCGCGTAGACATTTTCACAATGCCTGAGGAGGTTCGCTCATCGTTGCCTAATTATGTGTTCGAGAACTGGTCAGAGGAACGATGGGAGATAGATGGATACTTACGAAGTCGTGAAGTAGACCTTCTCAAATGGACATGGAAACAACAGGAACGGGATAACAAGAGAGCAAGAGAGCATGAAAACAGACCAGTCAAACGGAAGAAGATGAATCACACATATCAGATGGACTCGTTCTAAAAGGTGTGTGTATTGTTCTTGTCGTCTGGTGGATTTATTTCAATCGAAGGAAAAGACTGTTGTTCCTATAGCATCTGGAAAATGACATGTTTTGGCCAGTTTCTGCAATGATAGCGTTGGAGGGTTATATTGTAGGATCTCAAAGCTGGAGGTGATTAACATGAGTGGCCAAGTTGTCGCAAACAAAAAGATCCAATCATCGACTGAGTTTGGGTCTTTGAAGTGAGCATAAGAGCTGCGTTTACAAGGCCCGGTCTTCTCCAAAATCACTTGAAACTCGAAAGCAGCAAGGTCGGAACTAGCTTTGTAGAACGCCACGGTCTTATATGGATGTCTCCGCACTAAATAGCGAGCATCTGTTTCGCAGGCATAAAAGTTTCTCTAAACATATTGGAAGTTTCTGGAGATAGCAAATTTATGTCCTGAACTTTTGCCGGAATAGCAACGCTACCGGTGTCGCCTAACCGAGTTAATTGTATTCCATATCCAGAGTCACGCTGCTTACAGGCCGTTCCCGTTTATTCAATGACAAAACACTTCGCGTGCTTGCGAGCCGCGGCCTTGGAGCGACATCCTTGAGCAAAGAGAAACGCGGGCTTCTGGTTAAAGGAGACGGTATGGGGGCATGTGCAGTCCCGAAGAAAGGCGCAAGTAGGAGACATGCAAGTGTACTCGGCCTGGTCCGGATCCCCGAAGCCGTATCTGTAGTGACAAGCGAGGTAGCCAGCAGCGCAGACCTTGCGTGCCTCAAGAGACTGAAGACCACCATGCATCTCGGATACGGGTATGGCCAGGGAATCGCCCGAAACGTCGGCTACAGGAGAAGCAACTGCAGTGGCAGCGGCCGAGATGAGAAGGGTTTTGACTAACATGGTGGTAGCTTTATGGCGTATGAGTGTGGGAATAGTAGAAAACCAAATGATGTCGAAATGAAGTGAGTACTGCTGACTCTGATCATCGGAATCGAGGAGGATCTGAGACGCTTTTATAGAGATAGAGCACGATGTTCGTGAGGGAAAGCTACTGCCTCTATGCTCAGCGTCCGTGATGCGAGATGGTGGGTGTTCGTTGTGACTGTACTACCATGCGGAGACATCAAATTTCGAATTCCACGCCAACTTCGGTTGTTGCCGCTGGATCCAATATGCTTAATGAGTTCCCCATTGTCCTACAATAGGGCTGACTCTCAAAATAGCGATAGAAAGCCCGGATATCTCAAAAACTCTTGATGACATGGGGTATTCGCTGTAATCGTCGTCGAAAGCATGGAAAATCGTAGCGCAACTCGATTGGGGTTACCTAACACTAACTTCTTGCACCCACATGATGCGAAGGTTTCAGTTTCTTGTTTACTCGCCTGGTGTATTAATTGCTCTGAGCTCTGAGCTCGTCTTGGCTCGCATATCAGGTTTCTACATTGTTCCGATTTCGAACTATCAGTAAGAACGGCGTCAAGTGAGACGCTGGAGTTTAGCGGACAGCGAATGAAGACGAAGACAAGCTGACAACTTAATTCCTGATACTCGCTTCAAAAATACAAGACAATCATGTTGCCATGCGCGAGGTTGTTTGAGCCGAAAGATGTAGAGATCAAAAAGGGTGCTACGGGTTGAAATCGCATCTTAAAAAGACCAAAGGAGGCACTCACTCCGTGAATGTTGCATCACGAGGCCAACAGGCTTTCGGTGGCAAGTGCACGTTGTAGTGGCCGGCAAATGTATGCCTACCTATCTATGTCTACATGCTGCGATTGTTTGACTGTTGAAGAGTAATTTAGAACGATTCTCAAGAAGATGAAAACTCAGTTCAATGCTTTTTGTTGACGAAAATGCGCTGATGAAAACAACCCGGGCTGCGGTTGTTCTGCGGGCCAACACCGTGCGAGTGAAACATCCCAAGGAAGACAAGGGGAAGGGATGAAACCAGCGCTGAATTGGCAGGTGGTTTAGTGGCTTGTGGTGGTCAGATTTGCGCCCCGGGCTGCAGATCACGGAGACAATGACCCCTGTAACTCTCCGCGCGGAAGAGCATACTTGAACTTCAATAAGGCATTTAAGCAGTAGCCGCTGAGAAAGCATATCGAGAACTGCGCCGGACGATCAAAGAGTCCGAGACGTTCATGCCAACTTATCCCTGAGTTTCCTCTGACAGAAACTCAAATGTCTCGGCACAATCGGGCGTTCATTTCACACAAAGTTTCATGCTTCAGACACGTCGAAATTTCCAGACCACTAAGCTCACAAAAGGGGAGTTGCAGAAAACGAGTTGCTAAGCGCCCAGGCTCATTTCCCGATTCCGCCTAGCAGACGTCTCAGCGTTCCATCGCCCCTTATCAGCCGAGCGTCTTACGACTCGGATATAAGCAAAAAGAGAGGATCCCTTCATCGTTGAGTGGACACTTTTTTCTACTTATCCGGCCTTTGCCCCTTTTACCACGTGTGTCTGCGTTTCCCTGCGTTTCCCGTTAACAATCGTTCGAAAAGTCGATGGCGACCTCCCATCGCATGTAGACCTGAGCGCCTGCCGCTGGTCCCGTTTCATTTCGCGCAATCCGGCCTTGACATTCCCATTCTTTGTAAATTTGCAAGCAATCTTGTTTTCGTTCCTTCTTTATATCCTTGTACATTACCACCACCGCCATGAGCTCCGGACTAGTCCCGCGGGACGGGACGCGCGAGCATGAGCCCATGCTGGGGGGCCGATCGTCCGTGGATTCCGACGTGGAGAGCCGACCGAGCGACACCCTCCTGTCCAGCTCCGCCGAATTCGACGAGAAAGCGGCGTACAGGCGCCCTGCGGGGAGGAGGTCCTTCAAGTGGATTCTAGGCCTTACTTGCCTATCGATGCTATTGCTCTTCGGTCTCATCTTCCTTCAGTTTTTCAACGTCCAGAGCAAGGCGCCTCCGCCGGAAGAGGCCCACGGCGATGAGGACAACCACGCCGGCGAGCAGCAACAGCAGGAACAGCCCATCCCAACGCCCGAGCCTGAGCCCGTGGCAGAGGTCACGCCGACGATTGTCGCGACAACAAGCTTGGTCCCCACGCAGACGCCTGAGGTCAAGTTGACGCCTGAACAGCAGTTTGATTTAAAGACTGGATTTGAAGTATCGAACACGACGACGCTGCGCGAATATGTTTTCAACATTACCAGGCAGTCACATTCACCTGATGGATTCGAGAAATCGATGATCTTAATCAACGGACAGTCCCCCGGGCCACTCATTGAGGCAAACACTGGCGACACAGTCCGTGTGACCGTCAATAACCAAATGCTACAAGAAAGCACGACCATTCATTGGCACGGTATCGACCAGAGGAACACACCTTGGATGGATGGCGTTCACGGCGTCACCCAATGCGCGATTCCTCCTGGTCAAGGCTTCACATATGAGTTCAATCTCACTGACCAACGAGGGACGTTTTGGTGGCATGCTCATGTCACCGTTCAGGTCACTGATGGACTATTTGGACCCTTGGTATAAGCCGTCCCACGAATCTACACTGCCCAGGGCTATGAGCTAATCTATAGCCAGATCATTCATGACCCGAATGAGAAGATTCTGGCAGTTGATGATGACAAGATTCTCATGGTTGGTGACTTGTTCCATGAGTACGGAGGAAACGTGAGTCCGCCAATCCACCTCTCACTTATCAACGACCTGAGTCTCACATGAATCACAGCTCCTCAACCAATACTTGAGCGCCACACCTCCTTGGGCCCCTACAAAGCCTGGTAGAGAGCCCCCGCCAGACAACGTCATCATCAACGGAAAGAACACTTTTAACTGCTCTAGCATTGCCGAGCACAGCGCAGGCACCGACAAGGCCGGCGACAAGGGCAGCGGCGAACACAACATGGCGGACATGGACATGACCGATATGAAGGACCACGACGGCCACAAGATGGGGGGCCACAACTCAAAGCGAGACGACTCATCAAAGTGCACATGGGGCACTCTGCACAACACGCGCATAAAGAGCGGCGCAAAGTCCCGTCTTCGCCTCATCAACCACGGCACTTCAACCCCGATTTTCGTCACGGTTGACAACCACACCATGGAAATTGTCGAAATCGATGGCGTCGAGGTCAACCCCATCGCCACCACCCGTGTGTACATGAACCCAGGCCAGCGCTACTCCGTTATCGTCAATGCCAACCAGACCGCTGGTAACTACCTCATTCGTGCGGACGCTGCTGTCAGGTGCTTCCACATGTCGCACAAGAACCACAAGTCTGGCATGCACGGTGCTCCGTTTGGGGCCACCGCCATCTTGTCGTACGATGAGACGGATATCAGTGTCCCGCCGATGGGCCAGGCCTGGAATCTGAAGGCCACTTCGAGCCCTGGAATTGGCAAGGAGCCTTGGGGAAGTCACTGCGAAGACTTGCCCTTCAACTTGCCGAAGCCGATGAGGAAGAGGACGGCGTACATTCCTGGAGACAGGAACTTCCACTACTTCACCTTCCGGCAGGATAAGGTTGGGGATGTTGTGCGCACCCACGTCAATGATGTAAGTCACCGTCCATGGAAACTCCTAACAGCGGCTGACAATGGTAGACGCTCTTCACACCACTCAAGGATGACGCGACCTTGTGGAAGGTCATGGGCCAGGACATGTCGCTGGAAAACCTGAACTCACCGACCCCGAAGTTGGACTTTGGCAAGGATCAATTCGTTCTGTATTCCAAGGACGACAAGGCGGCCCAGATCGTGGTCAACTCTGATGCTATGATGGTACACCCTTGGCACTTGCAGTAAGTCAACTCTTCTGAGATCTAAGGACGGCAATGAGCTAACACACCAACAGCGGTCAAAACTTCCAAATCGTTGGCTGGGGTCACGGCTTGTTCGGACAGAGTGGAACGACATGGAATTTTGACAACCCTATGCGGCGAGATACCGTCACCATCCCTGGATTTTCGCATATCGTTATCCGTATTCTAGCTGATAACCCCGGTGTCTGGGCCTTCCATTGCCATTACCTCTGGCACGCCGAAGGTAAGTCTTATGATCATCGTTGGCCATGAAGGAATATTTGCTAATCCGTCTTTAGCTGGCATGTTCGTCTCTATTGCCCAGAGAATGGGCGAGCTCGGGACTTTGCTGGGTTCACTTGATGCTGCTGGTAATGCCGAAGCCATCAAGAAGAAGTTCTGCCCTACGCCAAATCCTCCAGCAGCGCCGGCAGCGTCAACTCAAACGGCCAACGCGATCCAAGTCGGACGAGTATGAGTTGTCGTTGGGATGATGTAAACATATGACTGTGAACAAAGATAGAGGTACATATTTGACCATATGCATAGCGAAGAGACGTAAAGATTCATCAATACAGCCACCGAGCTCAGGCAAAATTATCTAGTCTAACCGTGCCGAAAAACAGTTGCTAAGACTGCGTCTAAAGGTAGATCTACTGATCTGTTCCAGTCTGGATGACTTCTACTCAGCCCCGAACAGCGAAACCCTCCAGGCCGCCGTCGATCCATTTGTCAACAGCCTCCTCAAACGCCACTGTGCCTAGACTCCATCCCACTGTAGGTCCCTTCTTGTTCTCAGGGTTCTTTGGCTTAGTCGGGTCTCTGTAGTCCGTGAAGTATGTGGGAGTGCAAGATGCCACCGTAGCATACCACGGACTGTACGGCTTCAGACTCTCGGTGTAGCGTTGCTCTGCTTCTTTGCTGACTTCCACCTCAAGTCGACTGGCATCAGAAGCCTGCTCCACCGCCGTCTTCGCGATGTGCGCAACCGTCTTTGCTGCGATGGTAAGCGGGTATGTCGTGTTTGCCGAGCCCGTGGCGCCCTTTGCTGTGTAAAACAGCAGGTTGGGAAAGTCGTGGGTGGCGACGCCGAAGAACGTTGCAAAGTCATCCGCTTTCCACTTGTCCGTCAAGCTGCGGCCATCGCGACCTCGGATGGACATGCCGAGAACCTGGGCAGGGTCTCCATCCACACCAGTGGTCGTTGCAAAGCCAGTAGCCAGCACAAGTACGTCGACTTCATACTCTTTGGTCGATTCGCCCTTTCCAACTAAGATACCACCATCGGTGTAGCCGGAGATGCCCTGGCCATCGGTATCGACAAGCGTGACGTTGGGGCGGTTGAAAGATTTGAGGTAGTCTTGATGGAAAGTCGGACGCTTGCACCAGCCAGGGTACCAGGCCTTGAGCTTCTCAGCTACCTCCGGGTCGTCCACCTCGTGATCGACGTGCTTCCGAAGATCAGTCGCAATTCCTGCATCTAGCTCCATCATCCGCTTCAGATGCTCAGGGACCTTGGCGGGCGTGATATCCTTCGCTCGGGGGCTGCCAATAAGTCCCGAGAATTGGCGTGCGCGACTCCAGCCATCCTTGAGCAGATCATCCTCGGGAACCGCCTCAGGGTGATCATTGAGGTACTTGTTCAAGTTTCTCACCCTCTTTGACTGCCAGCCCGGCTCTCCAGCAACCTTTGCCCAGCTCTCAGGGGTCGTCTCAACCTGTTCTCTGGGGCCGCAGTAAGACGGGGTACGCTGGAAGACGTAGAGCTGCTTTGCCCACTTGGCTAGTTCGGGGACCGCCTGGACTGCTGTGGCACCGGTGCCGATGATGCCGACCCTCTTGTCTTGCAAATTCACCAAGTCGGGCTTGGACTGGGATCCGCCGGTGTATGCATAATTCCAACGAGCCGTGTGGAAGATTTCGCGATTCTTCATGAACCCCTCGAGGCCGGGAGCGTCAGGCGCGCTTGGGGAATAGAAGAGACCGCCAGCAGGCATAAGGAACTGAACGCGAACGACAAAGTCGCCGCTCAGGTCCTGATGGTTCGGTCCCAGGTTGCGGCTCAGCTTGACGTTCCATCGCTTCTGAGTCTCATCCCAGTCCGCACTCTTTGCCTTGGTGCAGAACATGCCCTGGATGCCGAACTTCTCGGCGATGCCCTCGACATTTTGACGAATCTCTTCGCCCTTGGAGTAACGGTGCTTGGGCACGAATCCTGTCTCCTCGAGGAGCGGCAGGTAACAGTACCCCTCAACATCGCAGGTCAAACCTGGGTAACGGTTCCAGTACCATGTGCCTCCGAAACCGCCGGCCTCGTCCACGATGACGATCTCAGACGCCTTGAAGCCGGCAGCAATCAGATGGTAGGCGAACAAGATGCCGTTGTGACCTGCGCCGAGGATCAGAAAGCCAATCTCGGAACCGTCTCGCAATGGCGGGGTTTGCTTTGCGAGGTTGTCGTAATCGGCCCACGGGTCTTGGTCGAGGTTGTTCATGAGGGCGGTGCTTCTGAATTTGAGGCGACCTCCTTGTCCAGCCGAGATGGCGTTGAATCTTTTCTCGCGCTCGGCTTCATACTTGCTCGCAATTGCGTCGACAACAGCCATCTTGATAGATTCTCTGGGGTTTCAGTAAAGAAGCGATATTGTAGCGTTTAAGGATGGTGAATGAATGGCTTATGTATAGCCAGGTATTGGAGTAATCGATAACAAACTAGACTTCAACATTTCAACATGCAACTGAGCTCGCAATGTTTTATATCTGCTTTTCATCGCCATTTTGATTAGGTATTCTCAGGAAGCCCCGGGACCTTGACTTGAAGGCGAAACCTTCCCGACATGGACTTTGAACATGGTTCATGATCACCACTTCCAAGGGCTCTCGACTTCCACGTCAACGGAACAACCTAAGCCACTTACCTCGCTCAAAATAACGGAATTGCTTGGAAAACCCGAGATTTTATGGAGCTGTTCGTCGTCGTCGGAGTTTCGTTTGCTGGCCTGCCAATCAAGCATGATGAAATGCCGAGAGTGGTACCCACTTCCGAACAATACGATGCTATCTGTGCACGATGGTATCCTTTGAACGTCGGCTTTCGCATTCGGTTCTGAACGTCGTGATTCGTGAGTTGAGTAATCAATTGATTACTATGCAGAAGTCGGAGGCTTCTAAGATATAAGAAAGAGTCTCAATCCGTCTCAATCACTTCGTTGTCTCAATTGTTTGTATTCTCTCAGGATGAGTGGAGTTACCCCAGTCCCCCGGACACTGTTTCTTGCGTGGCATCCTCACTGGGCCACCACTGCCTCAACCTAAACACACCATGTCGGAACGGGAGCAAATTGTACCTAGAATTCAAACCAGAATTTTACCACTAAACTTCGTCCTACTTGGGGCTTCTACTGAGTGGTTTTCGCGAGAGACCGATGAGAGATAATGTCAAGAATTGACCCCGGCGCTCGCGGGCTTTATCCGGACTCGAGCGGCGCCGTTGTCCTATCACAACGTCCATGCCGCCGCACGTGTTATTGATACTATGACCGGTCCCGCACGCCCGCGATCCTTCCGGTCTGGCCGGATGTTACCGTATAAATACCACCGATTCATTCCTTGACGGAGGTAATTTTCAAAGGAAAAGCTCCCACGTTGTCGTGTTTTGCCCAGGTCCACGAGTCCCAGGATTCAAAATGTCGTCAATCTTCAAATTCGCTGCAGTCTTGTGTACCCTGGGTTTTCAGTTGCCCGAAGTCTTTGCGGCTCGTCAACCTTACGATGTGAGGAAGATTATCGACGCTTTTCGTCACCCACAAGACGATCTCACCATTCTCTGCGCTCATAGAGGCTTGAAGTGAGATTCACCACAGATAAACCGAGAAAACGAGGTGCTAATACTTTCCAGATGGAACGGCACTACTGAAAATTCTCGTGATGCTTACTTCCGAGCCACGGAAGCCGGGTTAGAATGCATCGAGACGGATATTCACCTCTCACTAGATGGCCACCTACCCATGATCCACGATGGCGGACTTGGACGTACGACAGACATTGGTGAGCAGACGGGACAGCCCGCATATAATCCTTTCACTGGTCAGGGGTACAACCCGCTTGTCAGCGAGCACAACTTTACGGGCTTCATCGAGAACCTTCACCTCCGGGACGAGCAGGGCAGAGTCCACGTAGAGACAGTCCCTACGCTGCCTGAGATGGTCCAAAGCATCTACGAAACTGGAGCCAACGTCGTGCTGCAGCTGGACTTCAAGGAGCAAGCTGCAGTCGAGCCTGCCTACTGGGCCTTGAAGAACCTCACAAACCGTGCCGGGGTGCCTGCAAACGAGTGGTGCATCTACAAGTTGCAAGCAAAGTGGTGGAAGAACCCTGCGGAGTTTGAGGCGTTGGAATGGGTCCAGGATGCGTTTGCTTCTGGCATTCAGCTTGCTTATATCCCCGTCTACAACCCTGAAGATGAAGCCTCATGGGATACTCTTACCTCACTAAAGGAGTTTGCCTCAACGAACTACACGATCAGTGCCGAGATTGAGGTGTATTCGACCGGTGCTCCTTTACAACCCCTTCAGGACTACATTGTCCACAATGGAACTGAACAAGATACCTTCAGAACGTCTGGGATTTTGTGAGTTTGTCTCGTACTGGGCACATATAGATGGACACGAATGAACTAACGGAGCTCCAGTTACGCCGCTGGAGACCTGGTTGATTTCATTACCTCGGACCTTACGCGATTCGACACGGCGAATTACACTATCCCGGTCGATATTCACACCAACAACTCGGTATTTGTCTTCCAGGAGAACAAGGCCCCAGCACTTCTCGACTCACTTGTGGGAAATAAGTCGCTCGATGGACATGACTACCGATCCGACTTCGACTGGATTATCAAGCAAGGCTTCCAGTGGGTCATTACTGACACTGCCGATGTCTGGGATGCCGAACTGCACGCTCAGGGAAAGCGCAACACAAGCTACTTGTTGAATGGCAGTGAAAATAACACGACGAACGGATGGTATCGTCGAAGACACGCCCGCGAGTTTCCTAGGGTATAAGAATGATGGATTTACGAGAAATGGTGGAGGATTCTGAGGACTTCTCTAATAGAATACTGGTCCAGTCTTTCCATTCGTTTGATTGCCTCTTGGTGTCATGGAGGGCTCTTATAGCCATTGGCTGCAAGTAAGGGTATTCTTTAATAATCTTGGTTTTTTTCTTCTTTTTTTGAAAAATGATGTTAATGTGATGGGGGCTCTTCAAAGCTACTGTTGTCAAACATCTCTCGTGCTCAAAGCCAGTTCAGCGGAGGTCACAGCTTTCAGGCATTGCAGTTGGAGCAGTTGGGCAGACTTCTGCTACAGGTAGCAATATCGCGCTGTAATTGGCCACCTAGCCGAATCACCCCACTGTTTCAAACAAATACAGTGTCAACAACGAGATCCCGCAGTTGCCGACGGGATCATCATGTTCATCTGACGCGCTCCCTTCCTATCACTGAGTGCAGACGAACCAGCCATACAACTTCAAGTATGCCCAACTTCCGACGAAAATCATGTCATCAATGCAGATCTTCGAAATTAGCTTGTGATCGGAAGCAGCCACGCTGCTCCCGGTGCGAGCGCCGAAGCTGGCCATGTCGCTATTCCCCCGTGTCGAAGACTGGACGGCCTCTGCCCGATAAGCCCCAGCATGGCCAAGAACCTTTCTTGCATACACCCGGACATGTCTCCGAAGAGACGGTATCGGATGACCCAGTTGTCGCGTCGACGAATACATTCAACCCAGAGCAACTTGACCGTCCACAAGTAACCGGCATGTTTGACAATGTCGTCTCTACCGATGATATCCAAGATTTCGGGTGGACAGCTGAGTTGAATGATCACACTCTTTGGAACGGTGAGGCCTTCTCGAATTTCACGAATGTCCCCGCCGCAGGACCGGATATCAATATCAATCCAGATCTGGTGACCGATCTCATCGCCGACATCAACACCGAAATATCCAGGAGGGCAAATTTTGAGCCCTCCATGCTTGTGGACAATAGCCTTATGCTCCGACCGCGAAAATGGCGAAGCATAGAGTCTTCTATGACATCCAGAATGATGCTAGGAGATATTCTAACATATCCGGAAATGCTGCTCAACAACCTGAAACTACCCCCATTCATCAGTCCGCCATGCTGCGGCGACGAGTTGAAGTGCCAAGAGGCCGGAACTCACCAATGCCTTCCGCAACCTTTGGTAGCATGCGCAAGCATCATTCGGATGTGGCAAGCAAACAGCCCCGACAACAGGGCATTCATATGGAGAACCATTTACATGGAGCAACAAAAGCTTCTTCACGAAGTAAGTTGTGTTTGGCAATGCTGCCATGACTTCTGGCATCTGCATGCTCGTCACTCGTCGCTAATTCCGGTACCTCTGAAGCATGAGTCTTACGAAAAGGATACCCTGATCGCTGCTATCCAAGCTTCTGTTTTATACACAATACTACACATTGAGGAAGTCGCATCGATCCCGAAACATTATGTAAGATCTCTTCTGATCACTGTCGGTGTAAGTTTCTCTTTTCAAATGATCATCACCCATGTTGCCACTAACGTTCGTGATTGAAACGCGCAGACCATGACGTTCTCGATGATGAACGTCCGAGATATGGATTATTGTCACCAAACCGACGACGTTCCTACTCGGCATGAGTGGATATGCAACCAAAGCATGTGGAGGTGAGAATCCCCATCCATTCGGCCTTGTTGTTTCCTACTAACGCCTATGTTCTGTCAGAGTGACCTCCTTCTGCTATGCGCTGAATGAACTACTCCACATCGCAAAAATACCTTCTTCTGGCAATGGCGGCGGGCCATGCAGAAGAGTACACCTCCCCAGCACCCGCAGCCTTTGGACGGCCAGGTCAAATCTTGAGTGGCAGCGCCAGTACGCGAAGCAGCTTTCTAAACGACAACTCCGAGACTGCTACAGGATCGCGCACCTTCGGGAGTATGCCAAATATCCAGGAGACTCTTCGGCAGGAAGGAGCTGGGCGACTGACCTTGATGATTGGTGCCTGGATCATGATGAGTTGGGAACGCTTATCTGGATGGCTACAAAGCTAGATCCCAAGTAAGGGTTTCACTTTCAATATTCAAATGACATTTTGAGACATATAATGTCTTTACAACACAGTTAGAATTGTCTATCTGGTGCACAGGCGGAAGATTCATGTTTGCGGCACGGTAATGTGAACAGCGCGGAGACAAACATTCCTAATCCAGTAAGTCCGGACTCCGGACCGGCCGGGCATAAGGACGACAACGACGTCATGAAAACAAGCGTCTCTGAACGGTTCTGGCAACGGCAAAGCAGAAGAATATCAAACTCATTGATTGGTCAAGTCGGCCTTTTCGCACTTAAATTTTCCGACGCACGTAGAGGGGTTGACGTTAGAAGGACGCCTGGCCTGCGCGGGAGGGCTTTTGATTCGTTCCCGAATTCCATGATTACCGCTTGATGCAAGGCCAGGAACGCGCGGAGTTAAGCTTAATCGTTCGTCCGAAGCCGCTGTGTATTACGATCGGGACGACGGTTTTAGGTTTTACGGTGCCTCCTCTCCATGGCGAGCAAAACGAAGCATAAATACAGATGAATCTCGTTCAAAGTCGCTATATCATTTCAAGCATTTCAATCAAGCCTCCACTACGAGTAACCCCAACTCTCGAATGAACCTAACAATAAACAAATTTAGCGAAACCATGGCGCCGAAGAAAATCATCCTGATCACCGGTTCGTAGCACCGCAATTTTCTGGCTTGCAGACTAAGAAGTCATGCGCTTTTCTGGGCAATATGTTGACAATCATACAGGTGCTAATCAAGGCATTGGCTTCGAAAGCGCCGCAACAATTGCCGCCGCTTCATCCGACTATCATGTCATCATTGGCTCCAGAAACCCGGAACGGGGTGCCAAGGCTCTCGAGGAACTCCAGGCCAAAAACCCCGCGGGCACTCTCAGCCTGCTTGTCCTCGATATCACTTCAGATGAATCCATAAAAGCAGCATCCGAGAAGATCGCCGCAGACTTTGGCGTTCTAGACGTCCTCATCAACAACGCTGGCATGATCATCACAAATCCCAAAGACCGCCGTTCCGAGCTTGTTGAGACATTCAATACCAACGCAGCGTCGCCGCTTGTACTCACAGAGGCTCTCATACCTCTTTTGAAGAAATCGAACGACGCTCGCATAATCAATGTGTCGACGAGCCTGTCTTCGCTTTCGGAACGAACAGACCCTAGCTCTGAGTACTATATGGTCAGGAGCGAAGCGTACCGCATCTCCAAGGCGGCTTTGAACATGGCTACGGCTCACATCATGTTTGACAATAGAAGCTGGGGTGCGAAGGTGTGGGCGTATTGCCCGGGGTATGTAGTCACAAACCTGACCGGCGAAGAGGACCGCCAGACAAGACTTGATCAGGGCGCCGACGACCCAAAGACCAGTGCCCAGGGGCTACTTGAGATTGTCGTAGGAAAGAGAGACGGTGAAGTAGGCAAGTTCATCGGTAGAAACGGGTTACAGATTGAATGGTAGATAATTGACCGGAATGAGAATTCTCATGCTGTACAAAAACCCCATTGCTCAGCGCCTCATCGCTGAACTGTGATTTCCGTTGTTCTCATAATTCCTGCGTTACTCTTATCCTCTCTCAGAATCATCTCTTCACTGCCGGACCCGGACCCCCTTCCACCATGCTTCTCGTAGACAGTGTCATGAATGTTACCGACGGCAGCTTTATGAGCATCCGGGGATCCAGCAAAAGGGCGGTCCTGCAACTCATATTCCGCCTGACTGTTTTGTTCTCTGTATCCGCGTCGCCGCATCGATGAATTGGTTCCTGTCGGTCGCCGGTTCTCGTACAGTTCTCCATGATAACGGTCGCTCGATGAAATCTTGAGGGCGTGGCCGACTAGAGGCTTCAGGGACGGGGCACAGGCGGCGATGATGCCGAGGTTGAGCTGGAGGCTGTAGAAGTCAGCACAAAGTACTTATCGGGGGATGCTCGGAGAGACACTGAAATACTTACAACTCCCAGAATTGAATGCTTTGATAGCTTTGAGACAGTTAATAGGTCTGATTCTCTCAATAGAGAGATGGATTACTAACAAGGTCTTGTCTTGGTCTTTTCCATAGGCAATCTGGTAGATTGATTTGATAACTCCCATCGCAACAGCACTACATCGGATCAGCATCTCAGAAACGACACTCGTGAAGTGGTATGTAATCGTCAGCTTACAAGTATCCAAGACTCAGTACAACAACCAAATAGATTCTTGTTCGAAGTTTCATCTGAAGAGTCCAGATGATCGTCACCGGCAGCGTTGCGAAGCAGACATCAGTGAAGATATTGAAAGCTGTGTTAATAAGCCCAAACTTAATGAAGAGCGTGATTGGGTAACATTTCGGCTGAATGGCTTTGTTCCAGTATCCCTCAAGAGGCTGACAATAGAAGAAGAAAGTCATCCATGCCATGATGCTGTAGGCTGAGACAAATACTGAGCCTTCTGGTCAGGTACCGGGTTGGAATCTAGATCTGAGCTGGCAACATACCAATCAATGCCCACAAGGAGCGAGAGTACCAAACACTACGACTCAGTCGAAGTAGCGAGAGACCAATCGAGACTTTCAGGAGAGCCAGACCCGCAATCGAGGAGATGATAGATTGAAAGAAGCTCGATTTCCTCATGATGAGCATGTCTTCCGCGGCAATAGTGATGGTGTGTTTCCCCAGACCATGGAAGGATTGTACCGAAAAGATCGTCATGCCTGCAACGGCACACAGCTATTCACAGGTCAATCAGACTACCTGTTATTGACAGTCATCCAAATCATGTCAGACTCACCATAGAAGCTACGACAACATAGTCATCTCTCCCCATGAGCTTGACAACGAACATCCGGGTATACACTCGAAGGGCGACAAAAAGGAGAGCAAGCGCATGAAATCCCCCAGTAACGCCCAGGATCATGGGCGTGTTGCTCTCCGCGGCCCACTCGGGGTCGATCGGCTTCGGCGGCGTGGCCGATGGTGGATTCGAGGACATAGTGGCCAAGGAAGTAGCGCGTATGCGCCAATCAATCTAGCAGTAAATACACATGCAGAAACAAAGTTCAAGACCAATGACCAGCGGAGAGCATAACATGAGGTAATGAGCTGTTATATGTTGACTTCCTGACCGCGATCGTTTATTCTGTGGCCAACGAGAGGAATCACAACTGTGCAGACAACGTTGCAGAACAACTCTATTAGCCTGTTGCTAACCGAGTGGTGCGGGAGGATGCTACCGATCTGGCCGCAGGATTTGTGCTGCAGGGAGCCTCATGCGATCACATACGTCCCGTCCCTGGTTTCCGCAGACAACGGAATTTTCGAATTCTGGCTGCAGAGACCGTTTCATAGTCCACCTTTTTCGACGGAAAGAAGTCTCATAGGAACGGTTCGCCGATGTGGCCAGGGGCAGCATCATGCTTCCTGCAGGCAGCTGCATTAAGAAAATGATTTCCGGTGGGATGGGAATATGTCAACCAATCAGCAGACCTGCGGCGTAAATCGAAGAGAGTGTGCTGTGCGCCACAGTATTCTCGGAGCTTTCGCCTCCTGTATGGGGGTTGATTTGGTGTGTGCTGGTCGTTTTCCACGTCGAAGCACAGATAAGGCACGGGTGAAAAAATGACGACATGAAAGCAGTTCGTAAGTGCTTCTAGTTCATTTCCTCAGTGTAGCTATCAAAACTTGCGTCAAAGACCTCGAATAGTTTTCCTATTACCTAAATAGACCATTCGGTATTCCCAGAGATTTCGGTGTTGCCAACAGAGATTTGTACTGAGCGCAGTGATGTTATTGATCACAACACAAAACCTTGTCAAAATTTGAAAACAATGGGTATCAGCCTATTTTAGCTATCAAGAGAGTCTGATGCCTTCATTTCGTCTGGCAATTTTGCCTCCTTGGCTGCAGTATCTCATCGGTCACTCGATGACGAACTGAGAATGGTGACCGAGACTAATCCATGTCAGCCAAGTACAGTTTCTTGCGCGTTGAGATCCGAGCTTGTCGCAATGAGCGTTCTAGACAATGGTATTTCGGACTTTCGGCCCCCCTAAAAAGCACGATTTGCCATCGCTAGCCACACATGACAACCATGATGAGGAGGTTTGACTTGGCAAGTATGCAAAGAAGCATGCGAGGACCATGTTCTCCACCATATCGTCCATATTAGGCAAGTCAAGCCAAATTGCGGTGATCCTTTCCCATATCCTTATGTCTCTGCAAAACGTTTATGCTTGTGATTGTCTTGTGGATAGTAGGCATTTAGCCAGGGTTACAGCGATGAGGTCTTGGGAGCCAGGGGTAAACAAGAGAAAAAAGCAAAAACATTCGTCGACGTTCTTCATTGCCCAGAGGCCGCAGCCGCAGCCACTCGACCCTGGCATATTCTCTGCAGAGACCCATGCCGTGGTGGTGTGATGCGGGCCGACGTAGGGAATGTTCCCCGTCCCCTCCACTGATGCTAGCAGACGTTGGGTGACAGCTGGTGGAGCTCCTGCATGGCTTGGCGGGATGGAACCAACACAATGTCACATTTCAAACGAGATGGACACCGACTTTGTCATTATCGCTTCCCCTCCTTCAAATTTCCGTCGGGTTGGCGTTCCCCGAAGAGGTTCGACGAGCTGGCTAGCAATGTGCTGCGCCGTAGCGACCGACGAGCCGCGGAGGAAACCACGCGGCCTGCGGCACACAATCCTTTTACGCCCCCAAGTGACACACATCAAAAACGTGCGGTGTCCACGGCAATTTTGCCCACAACGAGGAGGTTGGCTCGGTACTTGGTAAGGTTAAATGTCGTGAGCAAGTTTACGGAGGTTGTTTGCTTGTCAAGAAGTTCTTTGGTTTAGACTCATACATAAGGTTGCGGATACTCCTCATGTAGGGCTGAAAGATAGACTTCCATCACCCATGGTCTGCCAGTGTCTTCTCAAAAGCCATCTGTCCAAGCGTCCTGGGAATGCCTGCCTCTCACAGACGTCCATCCCATTCATTGAATGGTCATTCGATCGGATCTTGTCCTCACAGTCTCCACCAGCCGGCCGCGCGGGCTCTTGGCCATGGTTCAAGGATCTTAACCAGGACGATTTTCCCGTCTGGGATGTCACCACCGTGGAGCCGAGAGGCTCGAGCCTCCCCCCTCATATGAGCTTTACTAACCTCTCCCACATGCAGACTGTTGACCAACAACTGAGTAAGTCCCTGGGACTGACCGAATGGTGGCGATGGATTCTCTCGCCAAGCTAAGCTATTGACAGCAATATTGAAATTAAATCGGCAGTGATGAAGCGTCACTTTCGTCTTACGCCCTCACATTGTATATAGAGGTCCTTTCGAAGTGTCCCATTGCCACGTTTTTGCGTTCCTTTTTCTCACCCTCCCTCCTCACGCCCGCCTCCCTCTGCAGATCTTTTCCCGTCTTTTCCTGACGCTGCCGTGTTTTTGGTGCATACAGAGGCCCCTTTCATCAAAGTTCTCGCAACTCCTCCCCAAAGACACACAGCATGCACGCCGCCAAGCTCCTCGCTGCACTCGGCCTGTCGGCCTTGGCTTCCGGCGCGCCCCTCGACAACCCTCTCCAGGCTCGTGACGCTGGGGATGTCCTCGCGGAGCTGCAGGCTCAGGCTATGGAGAACCTAAAGACAGCCGAGGCCAACGGGACTCTATCTAAGCGTGGAAGCTGCAACCTGATGAATGCTCAAGTGCGCAGAGACTGGTGAGTTTCCGCCCAAGAGGTCCACTTTGCGATGTACATGTGAGCTCACAAGTTACCTTGGAACAACAGGGCCGCTTTCTCCGCACAAGAGCGCAAGGAGTACATCAGTGCGGTTCAGTGCATGCTGACTTCACCGTCGAAGTCGGACCCATCGTTCGCACCCGGAGCTCGTAACAGATATGACGACTTTGTTGCCGTTCATATCAACCAGACTCGCACCATCCATGGCACCGTATGTTCACTATCCAAATGAGATCAGGTCCAGTGACTAATTCAATAATTCCAGGGCAACTTCTTGACCTGGCACAGGTACTTTACTTGGGCTTACGAGAATGCTTTGAAGACCGAATGTGGCTACAAGGGCGCCCAGCCTGTAAGTCGATGATGCCTGAAGACTATTTCCTTTCCACTAATAAGACAATTTAGTACTGGAATTGGTTTGCCAATACCGATGACCCTCGCAAGTCTCCAGTATATGATGGAAGCGACACCAGCTTGAGCGGTGACGGTGAATACGTCCCTCATAACGGCAGCGTCAGCCGTGCCCCCAACGGAAACATTGAGGTCCCCTCCGGATATGGAGGCGGTTGTGTCATGAGCGGCCCGCTCGTCAAGTAAGATCTCCCTTCTTCTTCATCATTTAGCATCAGACACGGAACAAAGTCTAACAATGCGACAGCATGACCGTCCATCTTGGTCCTGTGTCCCCAGGCATGGATGGCCTCGAAGTCAACCCTAATGGCCCCATGGAGTACAACCCCCGCTGTCTTCGCCGCGACCTTAGCGCCTATTCCGCCTCTACGTGGATGACGACGGACAACCTTGTCAACGTGACTATGGGTCAGGCCTCTAAGAACATCTCCACGTTCCAGAATGAGTTGCAGGGTCGCTTCGGTGATGGTTTCCTTGGAATGCATGCCGCTGGTCACTTCGTTGCGAACGGAGACGCCAGCGACCTCTACTCCTCACCCACCGATCCCACGTTTTTCCTTCATCATGCTATGGTCGACCGTGTCTACTGGCTCTGGCAAGCGATGCACTTGTGGGAGGCTTTTGAGATCGCCGGTACCATCACTATCCAGAACTTGCCCCCTAGCCGTGATGCTATTAAGGATGACTTGGTCCTCATGGGTGTCCTTGCTGAGGATCGTCCCATCAAGGACCTTCTTAACACTATTGATGGCACCCCGTTCTGCTATATCTACGCATAGGTCAGCATCATTGCTGCTTGAGGAGTGAGAGCAGTAGGAGAATGTCATATTTCACCACGTAAAATAAATTAATTCCAATATAACATTTCCCAGATTCGATGAATCACACATGCAAACTGTTATGGTACCTTAATCTCTTATAAGTCCTTGTTAATCCCAGTCCCCTTAGATGCCTGTCCAGGCAACCATCACTGAAGAGATCTCAGTCACCGGCCACACCTGCCGCGTCACGAAAAGTCTTTCCGCCGCATTGCGCCACATATTCAAACAACAGGAAGCCATTGCCAGCGTTAACCAGCAGCAACCAGGGCGTACTGTCCAGCCTATCTCTCGCCTCTGGATCGATGCACTCTATAACAATCAGAATGACATCGCAGAACGCAACTAGCAAGTTGCCATGATGAGCTCTACTCATCGGCGTCTGTGATTGTGTCGTGGCTGTCCTTCGTGGACAGGTACCTGCCCTTCCGAAATTGAGATCAAAAACAATGGCGAATTTTGAAGCCGTGGTTTCTCATCCACAATGGGTGCAGAAGTATGCTGTCTTCGCCCGGCCATGGATGGACTATTGGGTGCGTGGTTTCAAAGACTTGGCTGAGCTACCTTACCGTACTGAAGACGAGTCTAGATCTTCCTGGAGGTGGTCTTATCGGAAACAATCGTGCATCTCCATCCATCAGGCGCGCTTCATCGAAGAAAGCTTGAGGGGAGCGTCCGTCTTATATTACGTCTAGCAGAGACATCGCCAACACTAGAAAAAAAAGGATTTGAAGTCGCATTGGCGATGCCAGGTATTTAGACGCCGGACTTCAGCTGGTTACTGTCCAAGGTACCTGCTGCTATCTCCACTGGCTTGGCCCAAGTTGGACTTAGGCCTGGGGAGCTGGATCTGGGTGGGTTGATTCGCGTCCTTGAGGGTTGCCAATCACCCATAGTGCTGAAGAGAGCCAGAAAGGTCAGCAACGACTTCGCTCATGGCATATTCGGCCATTGCACAGTACCTGTCCTTGTACGAGGGGAAATTAAAGGTCGTCTGGAGACGGGGGTGGTGCCGTGTTTAACTTTTGTCCATGACATCTACAGAGCACGCGGAGTTGTCGTTCTAGCGTTCGGGTCAGCATCATTCAGCACGGCTGAGTGCCTTTCAAGATCAAGATACAAATGTCTAAAGGCAACAATATACTTGGTTAGTATTACTCACACCTGATATTCAGGAAATCTGTGATGGTGAGCCGGACTTTGCCCATGCATCTAAGGTTAGGCAATTATGACCCGGCCTCAATCTAACTTACATCGGCTCGGCATCCGCAGGACTTTCATACACGCTCAAAAATTGAGACCATTAGAGCAATGATGGTGCTCCGAAAACTCCACTTGCGCACAAGCAAAACAGATCTTGTAGAACGACTTCATGCCTCTTACATTACCTACGCCTCCAGTAGCTCCTTCAACCTTTTTTTCAAATGAAATATCATCAGGCGCCATCGCATCCCAATTAGCTCAGGCAAAATACACGGACTCAAGGTTCTGACAGCTGTCAAAGGCGACATGCAGAGGCGGGCTCTAGCCTGTGATCGGACTGCACTGATGTCGGGCGCTAAGCTAGAACCATCGGTACATCAGGACTTTTGTCGGATTCAGAGATTCGAGAGAAAAGCCAGATACGACGAGCACAAAATGAAACATTTCTCTTTTGTGAGCATATTCAGTCATCATATCAATTCTTTCGTGTACCTTACTCGAAGAGAAGCTCATCCGAAGACAGTGTCGAGGGACAGTGAACAACAGAAGGTCGCAATAAAAGATTGGGATTCCACTTAACCTCAAGGCATGATTTTGGTTGGTCGTTGGACCGAACTCATGGTCTTTGCTCGGTAACCATAGTGACTCGAAGGTCCCTGAAGAAAAAGACACTGGGGAATCGCAGTTTCAAGGCTGCAATAGCGGCAAGTTGGGCTAACAATCCAGGTCAATCCCGGTTGATGCCGACGCGTCTGCACGCAACTGTAGTGATGAAGATGACTGGCAGGTCTCTTCTGCAGAAGAACCGATCAATGAGGCGCAGCGAGAGGATGATGAAGTGAGAGGCCCAAGAAGACTTGGACATCCCCACTTTAGGCTTCACCGTTTCAATCGTGAGCTCTTCAGCCATCTATGTAGACGTGTAGCCAAGCGCCGAGAACACCAAGAGCCAGAAGCCCAGCTCATTGCTGACGCCGTCGAAGGGCCACCGCGGTATCGATCGCACCCAATAAACCCCGAGTTGGTACCTGCGCATGACCCCTGCAAGGTGACCTGGTCAGTGGATCGAGCGGTTCGCTGTTCTCTGTTCTGACAATCCACAATGACTCCGTTGTGGACCCCCTTTTTTCCAAGCTTCCCAGCCTCTTTTTATCCACAGCTTTCGCCGCCGCCGACACGCGCAATTCCCCAGATGACGTTCGACGAAGAATTCCACATGCAGACATGACAGGTTCCATCTGAGCCATCGGAGACATCAATTGTCGACAGCTAGAACCTTGTTCACCTCACTCACCGGTCCTTTAACATGAGCACGCCCTGTCTTACTTCATAATGGGCGGAGTCATACTGAGCCCTTCCGCGATGCCGGCGTCGACCGGGCTGTCTGAGGCTCCCACGCCGACGCCCGCCGGCGACATCAACTTTGGACGATTATTCCAACGCGATGAAGACACGGCGCAGATTCTCATCACACAAACCGTCACCCGATCGTGGACTACCTACGTCACAGTCGAAACCCTTCACGGCGGCCTCCCAGCAGAACCAACCGCCCGGTCGTCATCAGGCCTTTCCGGGAAGCAGCTCGGCATCATCCTCGGATCCGTGCTCGGAGGAGTGTTGGTTCTCAGTCTCATCGGCTGCTATTTCCTCTGCAGAAGATGGAAGTACTGGCATAAGGGCCGCATCCCTAGATCGCACACAACATCACCCTACGCCCGGACAAAACCGAAGTTCCGGTTCGGCCTAAGTACTTTCCCCCATATTCAACAGCTTTCTTGAGATCTCACTAACGTTGAGTAGCTTCTTCACGCCTGAATTTGGCATCTGTGTTTACTCCTGGTACCCGCCAAAACCCTCGTTCTCGTTCAACCTCTCCGTCTTCCCTTTCTTCGGCTCCTCCCGTGCCTCCGCCGGCGAAGCCACCTCCCGCTTATTCCGGCGGCTTCAAAGGCTGGTTCGGAGGCGGCGCAAAGCCGGATGAGAAGAGAGGTGGGGGAAGCTCCGTCACGAGCAGCAGTGTCTCTTAGAGAAACGAGGAGACGGTGGCAGGCCCGCCTAAAGATTGGCCAACTGGGCGGCAGCATAGATTCTCATGGTAAGTATTGGCCCTGTGGTGCGCTCGCATGGACATCGTTCTAACTGGCACCGCCACGGCAATAGAAGCGACACATGATTTATGTAAACTTATTATGGAGTTTGGGTTAAGATCTCGGTTATGACAAAAAAAGATTCTCAGGACGCATCAATCACCTGTTTCATCGCATCACGCCATTCAGAGAGAGTACGGAATATGAGATAGATTGAATGGGGTACCAAATTCCCACATGGGAACACGGAAAGACTAATCAAATTGATACCGCATTACCCTATCCTGCACTGCCTTCATGCCGGCCAGATGCTCACTAATGACTTCATCCCTCACCCTCGTCGCCTCTTCCATGCCTATGGGCCATTCTCCAACCTCCGTCATGATTCGATTGATCATCTCCTGCGGGACGTGATGACCTGCCCAGTCGATCTTTGCCGGTCCCTCCTCAACCCACCAGTCGTGCTGTTGCGGCGGTACATTGCGCGTAGAACAAATGCGGTAGTGGGGATCGACAAGATGCACCGTCAAGCAACGACGGCGGCCTGGACGTGAGCGGTCCAGCAGCTCATACGCCTCTACACGGTGCTGCAAGGTGTTGGGGTAAGCCACCAGTCGGCCGTCTGGGGCCACGATGGTGCCGAGCTCCTGCAGCGCATTAGGTTCCTCACTTTCGCTATGGAGTTGGCCAGGATCAGCAAGACCATAGATCCCCGCCAGTGGTGCAAGATCTCCTCGCGTGTAGACATGTGTGTCTGCGTCTAGGTCTGCCTCGACCCGAAAAGAAATGGCACCAGATGTCTCGGTTGTGTTGATGCTGTCAAAATACACCAGCGAAGTTGCCACGATGTGCTCGTTACCCATGCCATGGAGGTGCCAATCTGTGGTTGGTCTTTTACTCGTGATTAGCGAAAGTAACCTTGTTGTAGTAGAAGCACTTACTGAACTGGGTTTTCCGGTGTCAGTTCGACGGTTGAGAGTTGAACAACAACTTGCAAACCTTGCTTGAGAAAACGATCCTTCAGCGAAACAGCGTAGAACTGGTGGTCTGGCCCAGCTCCCAGCGGCGAGGGTCCCAACAAGAACTTCGTTGATAGCTTTCTTGGGATGCGGCCTCTCACAAGAGCTTTCCCAGTCTTTCCTTGCCTCCAGTCATCGTATGTGAAGGAAATGCCCGGCTCAGGGTGGAGCCAGTGTTTGAGGCGCTCATGTTTGACTCGGACAGCCCAGGCCAGGCCAAGATCTTCCCAGTCTTCTGCAATGGTCGGAAGTCCGACTCGGGAGCTCATGTTCTGCTGCAATTCGGGAGGCAGCTCCGGGACAGCAAGATACTCTTCCACTCTTCTCTTCGCCTCGCTATACTCCTCCGTCATTCTATCCCTCTCGATCTTGTCCAGGCCGACAGCCCAGTCTGGGAAAGGAGACCACCAAACCACACCGGATGTTTTGATGCGACTGGGGCATAGCCCTCGATCACGATAGGCAAGTACATCATTCCAAGGCTGGATGGATAAGGAGATGAATTGTTCGATGGTGCTGTAGAGGCTCTTGTGGGCCTCTGGGTGCAGGTTGTTGATATATGAAGTGATTTTGACGTCTGGGCACCTATCAGAATTTGGGTTGGCTTCAGAGAAGTCGACTTCACATGGAAGCCATTGGAAGCGGTCCGAAAAGCGTTCCGTATGAGTCTCCCAGGAGTTGAGCCATTGTCGGCGATGGTTTCGCAAATTCTCCCGTCTCTTCGAGGTGGTCAGGGGCTCAAGCAGTTGGCAACTGGCTGTTTCGCCTTCTCCAATACTATCAATGACATGTTCGAAATCGACCTGACCGCCCTGTGAAAGAACTTTGGTTTGGCCATATACCAAGGGAAACATGTTCGGGTCGACTCCAAACGGGAAATCGCGCCAGACTGAACCGGTTCGTAGCCTGAGTTCTTCCAAAAGGGAGAGCGAAACCAGCCCATCTGACTTGCATACCCGCGATGCCGTGTTGAGAACACATATACGTCTGCGCTCATTAGCGTCTTTCGCCATGTCTTGAAGTTCGAGAAGACACCAGTCCCAGGCGAGAGGGCTCATCAAGGGGCGGGCCAAAGCCTCTGCCCGCCACGTCGCCACCCTGATATTATCGAACACGTCCTTGGACCAGCCCGGTTTGTCAGTAATGTCATTGATAAGAGAAATCATGGCTATTTCCCGGGCGGCCAGGCGGTCTTGGGCCCAATCGTTGAATCCATGAGCGAACCGCTCATCGTGGCTGCGCTCGATCGACACAGCCAGGGGGAAGCCAGGAACATTCAAAGGCCCGTTACCTGTGTTGTCGAATTCAACGCCGGGTTCTCCATCGCCATACTTCTTGACGTAATGATCGCTTGCGCGGATCTTTGCAGCTGACATGGCACACAGGGCAGGTGGCAAACGGAGGAGTGTGCTTGAGGTTGACGTAGAGGTTGAAGTGGGCAGGATTGGCTCGTAGAAAAAGCTGGGAATCGACTGTTATTATGCTGAATATCAAGATGGTCTGTGCGTTGACAATTGCTTTTCAATCGTGACTTCGGCACTTTTGCCGGGGAGCATCCAAATTGATTACATGACGTACATGTCAACCTACCCAACGCGAATTGGATGTGAACAATGTACGATCCAATAGCTACGTCGAAATCCTTTAAAGTCCCGGCAATTTCATTTCCACATTACAAATTCGCAAATTATTAATAGCCACTATGGGTCTGTCGATCTTAGAGGTCAACAGTGACGATAATATAATCAGACCAAACCCTAACCCCGCCTTCTCCTTAATCCTCATCCATGGATCTCAAGCTAACTACTCAAGGTTCGCACAACAAACAGCAGAAGACCTCAGCAACTAGTATCGACGCTGTTCACACGATCCATGTGGTTCTTCACAGCATCAATGAGCCCTCGGTGGTTGTCAGGGTCCTCACTCTCGTACTCACTAATCAGATTAGTCGCCTGATCTAAGATTTCCTGCACAGCAACAAAGTCATTCCCATGTTTCGCCATGAGATTGTCCTCCATAGTGTCGAACTTGACAGTGATATGTTTGTTAGCGGGAAGCCTTTGTGGACATCACAGACATAGGACATTGAAGCAGAACGTACATCGATTCCTTCGTAATCCCTCCCGAGTGGTGACGTTTCCGTTTGGGTCTCAAAATCAACGCCCAAAGCTTTTGCAATCTCGTCACCATTGTTTGCAACGATTCCTACCATATTGTCGGCCTTGCGCTCTCCATACACTCCCGAAATGGCCTCGCGAGCTCGGTCAAGGTCTGCCGTTGCTCCTTTTGACCTTGACCATTGCACCGAGTCGGTCACTTTCTTGATGACCTTATAATAAGGAGTGTTGTATACTGTCAAACCTTTGACGAGTGACGTTGGGTCAAGGTGGACCCTTTGAAATCCTGCATTATGCAGGTCTTCCGCAATGGTGGTGAGAGGGGTGTCGCGAGTGTAGCCGTCTGGGTCGATGGTGTCGGTATATCCATCGAGATCGTCATAAACACTGTGGACAAACTCTTTGAAGTTGCACGCTCTTTTGGAACCATCTTCCGGATTACAATACGGCGCCAGCCACATGTCATCGATGGTGAGCGTGCTATCAGCAGCTACGGCGTCGTACTCCATGCGATATGCATAATAGACTATGCCCACGTGAGCTTGAGAACAGAGTTTGTGGCCGAATCGAAGTAATGGTAACGTGGAAGAATCAGACTTACAGTAGAGCGCCTCGAAAGGCGCTGCATACACAGAGGCAAGGACTCTGACTGTGAACGAAAAGAAAAGAGTGAGTAAAGTGAAACGCATTTTGGATGAGGGAATGGACGGCACCAAGGTGCGCCGAAAAGCAGAACAGATCCTGAACGTGATTTTTTCTGAGATTCAGAAAATCAACAGCTGCGCCATATGTGAGTCTGCAATCAATGGAGGGCTATACATGTTAAAGGAAATTCCGAGAATGCATTATTCAACATCTCGACCGCAGTCCAATATCCAAAAGAGACACTCAGCTCCGGGATGAACACCGTTGATAAAGCAAGGGAAATTACTTTCATGATACGATTCTCCTCATGCGGTAGGTACTAGGTATCTGACTTCTCCAGAGTCACAACGTCTATCAGAATCGTTATCATAATAGCTAAGGCAGAACCACTCGAGAAGATATCATTGGTTGAAAGGTGATCCTTCAGTGCCGTGTTCCGTTCCTGTCAGCTGTTAATTCAAACCATGGAGACACCAGATGCCCTATGTGCGTTGAATTCCATGACTGTGTGGCTCATAAGAAGCCTTTTGCAGCCGAGGCCCCCGAGATACCCTGTCTCGAGCACCTCCCTTTTCGGCTCGCATCGAAGCAACCCTACAACCAAAGTCCCAAATGCTATCCAAGTGCGGGCAGTTTATTCGACATTTGAAGAAATCACAAAGGCTTGTTTTCCGGCTACGCCATTTCTGGCATTCAGCGCCGTGCTTACAGCCGCTGTTGGTCTCCATTATTTAGGCAGCCTGACAATAAGGCTTAATTGGTGCGACAATGACTGCAGATTAAGATGAGATGATAGCGGAAACCCACCAGGACGCTTGAGAGTTCGGCAAACCGGCTCATCGAGTGATGTCTGGACCGCATCGAATGCTTTTTGATGCTTTTGGGAACCCGTGATAAAGTCAACTTGGTACTAATAACGATGAGAACATGGAGCCACGCATCGCACATCGGAGGCCATAATTAACGTCGGATATCGCTTCTTCAAGACACTCTCGCTTGTGCCATTCATCTCTGCATTTTGCTCTCGCAGCGCAGTCACTCATTTCAATTTTCCATCAAGCTCATGATGTTGCTCACCAATCATGCCCCAGCCCATACGTGGCTTTGGATTCTACTTGTTCTCGCCTCTCTTTCTTTCGCGTCTATCATTCCATTCGAAGTCTCGCCCTCGCTGGTGAAGCATCGCTCTCCCTCTCTTGACAGTAATTCTCTCTCATCAAACACCACAAACTCTGAACTCGATGCAGCGCGCAAAATCGTTCAAGAGGCCATCGTGGAGGCTTCCAAGCTCAACAAAGCCCGTCTCGACCACCCTGCCAGAAATCGGTTAGACACCAGTCCTTACCAGAACAAAATCAGTCAGCTAAACATTCTTGCAGCTACAAGCTCTCGCCTGAGAGCAGCGTTGGTGGCAGTGCCAGGAAGAGACGAAGTACCACTAGGGACTCAGAATCCGTCTCGGCGCCCCCGTTGTTGAACATCACTGCAGAGATCGCCGCCGCTGCCGCTCTTGTGGCCGAGGCAGATGCATCGGCCTCCAGCGGAAACAGCACCAAGCATTCTGTTCAAAAGCGCGGCACTTTTTGGATGCAGGATATTTCCCACAGAGGCACTTCTCCTTGGGGTGATGATTCCAGCTACACGGTTCGTAGTCGAGATACCCCGGGTTCGCCAAGAGATCGCCAAGGCACTAACGAATTCCATCGCAGATCTTCCGCAATGTGATGGATTACGGAGCCAAGGGTGATGGTGTCACTGTAAGATCCTATTCCCTCCCAAACATGTCGCAATTAGTTGGCGAGCGTGATGCTAATTAATGATCAGGATGACACTGCCGCGATCAACAAAGCCATCAAGGACGGCAAGCGATGCGGAGAGGCCTGCAACGGCTCTACTACCAAGAACGCCATTGTCTACTTTCCTCCCGGGACGTATTTGGTTTCCAGTCCCATCATTGTCTACTTTGGCACTCAGATGATTGGCGATGTAAATACGATCGTTCTCAGTCCCAGCAAACTGCGGCTAACACTTCAAATGCAGGCCAATGACCGTCCAACCATCAAGGCGGCTGCCAGCTTTGTTGGTCTTGGGGTTCTTTCGACAGACGTGTACATGGGCGATGGTGCTGGGGCCGATGGTAAGGACAATGAGTGGTATGTCAACACGGCATCGTTCTACAGGCAGATTCGGAACTTCAAGATCGACGTCACTTCAACCGACCCCAACGCCTACGTCTGCGCACTGCACTACCAGGTCGCGCAAGCTACCAGCCTTCAGTTTGTCGAGCTAATTGCCAAGACTGGAACCACACAGCAGGGGTTATGTAAGTTCGCCCACCGGAATCGATGAGGAACCTGAGTCAATAACAGACCGGTAGATGCGGAGAATGGCAGCGGTGGCGTGCTGGCTGACATCACTTTCACTGGAGGAAACTTCGGCATCTGTAAGTTGGCTCGCGATATTGGTCATTTGGCCCCTTCTAGTGACCCTATTAACATTGTCGAAACAACAGATGCCGGGAGTCAGCAATTCACTGCCCAACGTCTGACTGTGAGTAATTAAATGAATCGAAGAATCAGATCAAGACTAAGAGCTCTGTAGTTCAACGGCTGCAATACGGCAGTCCAGATCATCTGGGATTGGGGTTGGGTCTGGAAGGGCATCACCGTCACAGACTCGAGCACTGGTTTTCGTCTTGTCAACGATGGCGGTGACGGAAACGTTGGTTCCGCCGCTTTCATGGATACCTCGTTCACGAACGTGAAGCAAGCCATCGTAGTTGCCCCACCTTCCTCCACCCCTGCTACTGGATCGACAGGTCTTCTTCTCGACAACATCGGCTTCAGCGGTGTCAGTCAGGGGGTTGCAGATACGACTGGAAAGACTCTCCTTGACGGCTCTAGCAGCGTTTTGAGCTGGGTTTTAGGACCTATCTACAACGGCACCGAGCGCACATGGAGTTCAGGGTCTTCACACGAATGGATGGGTATTCTACCTTTACTTGGCGAGAAGACCATCGACGGCCTGCCGAACCTACCGTACTTCGATAAGGCGAAGCCTCAGTACGAAGGCCATTCTACCGGAGACTTCATTCATTTGAAAGACTACGCTAAAGGTGCGTCTCTCTTCACTAGAAGCCTAAGAAATATTACTGATGCACTCACTTGTAGGTGATGGCTCGACCGACGATACTGCCGGTGTTCAAAACGCTTTCAACAGTGCAGGCGGGAAGATAATTTTTGCCGACGCTGGGGTTTATTTGTTGTCGGATACGGTTACCATCCCGGCTGGAACCAAGATTGTAGGTGAGACGTGGACACAGTTTGCGGCAACTGGATCAAAGTTTGGGGACTCGAGGTAAGGACATGCTCTTCCAAGACAAACTCCAGAGCTGACCGCGTCGTGAAGCAAGCCAATTCCTATGCTACGAGTTGGAAACATCGGAGACGTTGGATCAGTTGAGATGCAAGATCTCATGTTCACCACAGTCGGACCGACTCCTGGTGCTATCCTCGTTGAGTGGAACATCAACGCCGACAGCCAGGGATCTGCTGGACTGTGGGGTTAGCAAACTCGCGTCGCTCCTTTTCGATACACTATAGCTGACATGTGGTTTCCGACAGACTGTCATGCTCGTCTGGGAGGCGCAACAGGCACTAAGCTGACGCCAGCTGAATGCCCTGCGCTCACAAGCGGCGCCGTGAATGACGACTGCAAGACTGCCGCACTCGTCATGCACGTCTCCAGGGGAGCTTCGGGATATTTCGAGAACATGTGGTTATGGACCGCTGACCATATGGTTGAGTATGTACTCTGCTCCATGATTGATCATGCACAGTCCGGAAGCTTACTAGAGGCCCTATAGTGACCCTGACTTAGTCAGTGATAAGAATGAAATGGTAAGATCAACAGTCTTTCTACTAGGATGCACTCATCGACTAATATTCATCTTCTGGCAGACCATGGTCTCAGTCTATACGGCCCGAGGACTTCTCATCGAAAGCACAGATGCCGTTTGGCTGTATGGTACCGCATCTGAGCACGCCGTGTACTACCAGTACAACTTGTTTGGTGCCCAGAACGTTTTCGCTGGCCTTCTGCAAACGGAGTCCCCATACTACCAGCCCATGCCAACTGCTCCAAGTCCGTACAAGGCCGAGGTTGGGGTCGTCCGCGGCGATCCCAAGTATGACTGCAGCGGTACCGACTTTGACGGTTGCGACTCGTCATGGGGCCTGCTTGTCAGCACTTCTCAAGATGTTTATATTGCTTCAGCAGGTATCTATTCGTGGTTTGATGACTATAGTCAAGACTGCAGTAAGTCCCTCCTGGAAGGCAGTGTTCTGGCTGTGAAAAGTCCAACTGACCATTTTCTCAGTTGATGTTCACACCTGCCAAAAGGTCCTGGTGAACTTCTCTAAAAATTATCATCGAGTTCGTCTCCAGCAGCTCATCACCATTGGCGCTCAATATTCCCTCGTCTCCGACGGCAAGGGTATCTTGGCCACGGACAATCTGGCAATTTCTGGTCATCCTGCCGTAAGTATACCTGGGCGCCAAAAGTTGAAGCACACTGACGCCGTATGTTCCAGTGGTCACAAATTTCTTTATTTGATGCTACATCCGCTGGCGATGCCGATATTGATATCGGCGATATCGCCGTCGACATGCCGCCCTGTAACGACCCGAATCATTGGGTGACTCTGGATGATCTCTACGCGGCGATGGGGTCCTTTCCTGACTACTGCGTTGCTCTCTACGCAACTCAGATCCTATACAGGATGGTGGATACTACCTTGGAAAAGTATGGGCTTCGCCATTTTCCCCGCGATCAGCATAATACTAACAAGATCCTACCAGCTATACTTCCGTCGACAACGGCTACGACAGCAAATTTGACTCTTACGTCAAGTACACCAAGGAAATGATCCCGACTCAACTCGATGAGTTCATGAACCTCGAAGACGGCGCCGGCAACAAGTACTTCACATGCACCTTTGCCGAAAACGGTCGCAATGAGACATCCCAGAAGTGCCCCTTTGGCAACTGGATCAACACGTATGACGAATTTACCATCTACTACACGTTAGACAACGAGGCAGGCTTCTTCAATGAGCTGCAATCAACATACGGTATCATCCCCGCCTGGGTCAAGTTCAGTGAGAAGATCGACCAGGTGACATGCACCGGTAGCGCGGCGACCTGCACGCGCACCAAATATGTCTACGAGGGTCGCCCATTACCTGCAGACAGCATTACGGTGGCGAACCCCAAAGACATCATCAGCCAGGCTCTTCCGGGCTTTACCAACCTCCGCTCCACCCTCGCCAGCATGTTCTTCCAGATGAAACTCGGCATCTGGGACGGCGTTAACGATGAAGTCATCTCAGTGCTCAGTATGCCTGTGTCGCTCGCCCAACAGGCAGTTGAAAGTATGGCGCAGGTCGCTGCCGTTGGGGAAGAGGCAGCTGAAGAGGAGAAGAAGGAACTCATCTTGACTATATTGAGCGTTGTGTTTCTCGTCATCCCGTTTGCCGGCGAGGCCCTCGGTCCCGAACTCGATGCCACCATTCTGACATTTGGGCGGATCATAGATCTCATTGGCGCTGGTGGGAACACCGCCTTAGCATTTTACGACATTGCAAAAGAGCCGACCTCCGCGCCCATGGAGATATTGGGACTCTTGATGGCAGGTGGTCTGGGGCGTGACTCCTCCGAGTTGGGCAAACTGGCTAAAGCCAGACGGGATATGACTGAAGTCGACCTCGGCAAGATCGGCTCCATCTTTAAGAAGAACGATGATGTTATCCAGAACATCATTCACAAGTGCAGCAGTCCGGTGGTTCATTAGCAGCCCTTAGATACATGGTCAAATGGAGGATCAGCCGCAAACACCCAAGCACTTCCAATGTCGACCAGGTCTCACTGAGCTTCTCAAAAATACCTATTAAATTTTGCATTGGAATCTATATTATATTGACCATGATTCTACTCTTTTGTCGACATGCGTGAACAGGGAGGGGGGGAAAGTAGCGTACCCCATCTTCTGCGATATTTAGCAATTTGTTGTCAAATCGTGAGGTCTATATCTCCGAAAGACAGCTCGAATGACGAATACAATATCCCAAGAGACTTCGAGCTTGCTGGACTCAAGAAGCACGCGCGCTCTCGGTTTCACTCAAACCCAACTCTCTTGAGTTTTCCCCCTCTGGACGCCAATCCCGGTATCCAATCGCTTACTTCAAAGCATCATGACATAATCGATCCGTGACTCGGCAAAGACGTTCTTTAGCAGGTCATGGGATAGAGGGAAAGTCCTAAGAACATGATATCGGCTGTTAGCTGTGGATACAGCATTGCAAGAGAGGTGAACTAACTCGATGGTTCCCTTGACAACGCCTTCAATGATAGACCACATTCCGTGCTAGTCTTTCATTGCTATGTAGCTCTTTTGAGGAAGTGACAATGTGGTAATGGATAGAACTCGTCTCACTGCCTTGGTTGGGGCCCATGACTAGCTTTACAGGTCGCACAAGCTCCCCCGATAGTGATGCCCCGCCTAGGCTATTCAGGCTTCGACTCTCAATGCCCGATAGAATCGATATAAGGCCGAACCCTTTGCTCAAGGGACATGAATGGAATAGAGCAATAAGTCCGAGAATCACTAGCAGTAAAACGGGCTGGATTGCCAAGACCAGATAGAGCCAGAAAGATTTTTGTAGCGTCGGTCGGTTGCACAAGATAATCTGATCATCTTCGTCGACGGCATACATCACACCAGCGTTTTCATGGGTGATGTTAGTTCCGTTACTAGACCGCCATCCAAACGAGCTTTTGTTGAATGTTTCTGAGTCGAAAACAGCATCCGTTAGTTGCACCGATGTAATTCTTGACCACAGCATAGTCGCCACAGAAACCGTCATGTATGGCCTCATCCAATGAGACTGATTGCCTCTGAATTTGTGCGAGGCATCTCCGCGGAACGTAGTCATCATCTCTATCAAAGATGGCATGTACCATGATTGAAGTGCCAGGGTATCCCACTGGATAACCTGCTGCTTGGCCCACGGCAGGATGGTGCTGTCGCAAGAGCCGCTAAGAAGCTGGAAACCACCTCGACTGATGGACCACGTACCTAAGCATGGTTGTCTGTAGGTATTGAACAGGTTTGCGTGGCGCGCGTAATTCGTGCAGTCTTTTCTCGGATACCCCCGTGCTAAGCCGATGTACTGAACTGACTGATCCGATTTCAATTTTTGATTGGTAAGGAAGAAAGACCATCCATTGTATAGATATACCGCATTCATTTCCCACTTCACTTTTTTTTCTAGTGCTTCCGTACCGATATCTAGTGCGTTCGTACAGATAGACTCAAAGTCTTCCTCGAACGCAGGGCGGTCGTTGATGGCCGATTCGTTGAAAGTAGCGACGGTACCGATCACGGGCGCCGTGATGGTCCAAGACTCGCCGGCAGCAAGGAGCTTCTGTATCGCTAGGATATAATCGGGATGGAGAAGGTCGAGTGAGGCAGCGCTGGATTCGTTCAGCAACAGAATGTTGTAGCCGTAAGGCTGAGGAAAGGTCGGCAGGGGAGGTTCAGAGCCATTTGCTGCTCGTCCGGTTGCGTCTCGAAGTGAGGTGGTTGCGTTGAGATAGATGGAGGTTCCAGTCACTGATACGATTCCTGGCGGTCTGAAAAGACCAAAGTACGTGCCGTTCGGAACATAATCGAGCATGTGAATATTCATACTGCTTTCGCCGCCTGTAAATGTTTTGTACGCTACACTGAGACCGATGGGAAGTGATAGCATGACTACGAGGATCACACGCCACGCGAAGCTCAGGCTAGATGCCAGAGGCTTATTTCGGAGGATTGCGTCATAGTTTTGTATCGTGGACTGCCCATAACGGGCTTCGAGCAGTATGAATAACGTTGGAGTGACGCTGGCCAAACACAGGCTCATGATGCTGAGGAGAAAGCCGATAACAATGAGCTGACGGTTCGAGGCACCAAGATACCATGAGATGTTGCTGTTTGAGACTACCGAGACCGACAGAGCAAGGCAAACAAGGGCTATAATAGCCACTGCAATGTCCGACCTGTAGAAAAGGTTTTTCCGAGCTGGCTTTCCGAGTAACGGGACATCTTCTGAGAACTGGTAGGAAGGTGTTTCGGCTGTCGCTGGAGCTACTGTGCGACGACTATCAATACTCTGCCATCCATTCTGGACGTATACCGAACTATCATCTAGGTGTCGATATCTTGCTGACCCACCCCGAGGGCTTGAACTTCGAATGAGCGAGGCCATGTCTAAAAGAAACTGAACAATGCAGTTCTGCGAAATGTGAGGCTCTTTCGTCACTCTGGAGCTTTTGAAGACTCGGGGCGGGCGACGAAATTCACGGAGCAGCGCTTTAAGATGATATCCGTGGCAGCCTAAACCATCTTGATGAAGGGGACCCTCCACAGAGCTCCTTATCTTGACTCTCAATTTCGACAGGTTGCGGGGATGTTTGCATTGGACTACATAATTTGTAATGCGTTTCCACGAATGATATAATCGCGCAAGCGCTTACCAGAACCAATTGAGGGATATTTTTATGATTTAGCTACTTTTGCATGATTGTCTGGATGCTCAATGGCCAGCCTGATCACAGGCGCCCGCTGCCCCTACCAACTTCCAGTTCATAACGGACAAAAATAGATTATCATTGGGTACTTCTAACGTGAGGGTGGCTGTACACGGCTAGGACAGACTCGGAAAATTTAAAACAACACGTCACGCGAGCGATCATCTTTTTGGTCAGCAGGCCGAGGAGACATACACACGCTGCCACGGAATACTAATGTGCAAATCATTGCCTCATCAATTAGTACTAGAGATATTACACTATTCTACAATTCATCATGGTCGTCGAGTGAGCTCAGTCAGCTCGGGGGCTTGCAGGTCCAGTTCTCAACATCCTTCGACCCGTGCGGCCCGGACCCTCCAAACGAGTTCACCAACGGGTACTTGCAATGCCGGCGCTGGAAGTCAATACCCAACCCCGCAGTATCATTCACAAACTTCGTCCCCTTGATTGTCTCCGGACCAACCCCGTTCTCAACCCAGTTCACAACAGCAGCAAGGATATTGTGCTCCGCGTCAAACGGCAAATTGTCATTCATCGCAGCCGCGCCGCCGCCCTGGCCAACAACCCACGCCCCCGGGCCCGCCGTGCAGTGTGACATGCCCGAGATGCGGAAGTACCGCACGAACTCGTCCATGCCCTTATTATCCAGCCCCATGCCCTTCGCCAGGCGGTCGTAGAAGATGGGCGTGTGCAGGCTCGTGATCTGGTTGTCCTGCGTGCCGTGGTACATCAGCAGCTTGCCTCCGAGCGCCTTGAACTTTGACAAATCGCTCGGGTTCGTGCGGATGCGGCCCGAGTTTTTCTTGTCGGCGTCGATGCCGTCCGGGTCCAGCTTGTACGTCGCCGGGTCCCACTTGGGGTCGTTCTTGACGGCGAAGCGGAACCAGTTCTCGGACAGCGCGAAGGGCTTGCCGGCGTACAGCCCGTCGGCCGACACCTTCTCGCTGCCGGGGTTCATGCCCGGCCAGAAGAGCGTGCCGTTGGGGTAGTTCGTCGGCGCGAAGATCTTGCGGACTATCTCGACCTGCGGCGTCGTGAGGCAGCCCTGGCCCTTGTCCTTGGCGTCGTCCTTGCACTGGATCTTGGACGGGTCGAAGTGGCAGCGGGACGGGTCCTCGATGATGCCGTCCTCGGCGCCGTCGATGGTGTCGCACTGCTTGAGGACCTCGTCGTGGATGGTCGTCTTCCAGACGGTGGCGTTGATGAAGTCCTTGGAGTCGGCGGCGCCGGTCAGGGGGAAGAAGCCGGCGCGCCAGGAGTAGAGGTTATTGAAGTCGACGGCGGGGGCGCCGGCGACGATGCCGTCAAAGTCTTCGGGGAACATGTCCGCGGCTTGGATGCCCTGGCGGCCGCCGAGGGAGCAGCCCAGGTAGTAGGACTTCTTGGCGCCGCTCTTGTAGAGGGTTTGCACGAGCTGCTTGCCGGCCTCAACGCCTACGTGGAGTCTGTGTCTTGGTTAGCTGACAGGCTGTATGTGAGGATGGAAGCTCAAAACGTACGCCCGGAATGAGAAGTCATTCACCACCTCGTCGTTGTTTAGGAACTGCACTCCCGTGGTGCCGTCGTGGCCGTTGTTGGTTCCCACGGCCGCGAAGCCGTTGGCAGTCGCGTACGCGAGATCCTCATAGTGTACACCTGAACATACGGTTAGTCAAACTGCAGTCTTCATGTCTCACTCACAACCACTTACATCCGTCCAAACCTCCACCACCCACAGTCACCATGCGACCATTCCACTTCTCAGGCAGCCAGATCTCCGTCACGACCTCAGACTTGGCCGAAGTCGTGAGGTTCATGGCGATTCGGCACAGGTTCGCCCTGACAACCTGGCTCGCGCGGCCGCAGTTCGCATTCTGCTCGGGGAAGGTGAGATTCGTGCCCGAGGCCACGAACGTCTGCACTCTGACTGTCGAGTTGGTCACAATCGTCTTTGGCGTGAGAGCGAGGCAGTCATCCTGTACTGTCGCTAACGCCGGCACGGCGAGCGCCGCGGCGGCGACGAGGGCCTTGAGCATGTTGGTTGTAAGGAGTGATGGTTGTCGACGACTAGCGGTTCACCTCTCTCGTCCTGCGGGTGCTGAACAGCAAGTATTTAACTCAAGAAAGCGGAGGGACGGAGGACGTGTCCGCTAATGAACAGCGGTGTGGTTTATTAAACTCGACAATGTTAGCCCGAGCTCATGTGAGGGGTACCTGGTCACGGGCGGGGTAGCTTGAAGAGACGAGGACGGCCGGACTTCGTCCCATGATTGATGTTATAGCCCGAACATCGGGCAGTCCTTGAGACCATGAGACTTGAAGCCAATTTGAGACGACAAGTAGGTCCGAGGCATTACTGAGAGATTTCGTGATGTGCGATAAGAAAGCCAAGCAGCATGATATCGATCGATTGTGTGTCTTTGCCCTTTGTCGTGTGAACATGTCAAAGGCTTCACCGTTAAGCTAAAGCCGGGGTTTTTGTTTGTGGAGGACGCTAATTTCCCCAGGGGTTCTTGGGGTAAACGTGAATGAAGATCGTAGCGGAGGTGGATGCACTGGGGTTTAGCGCCATTGGCTAGGTTCATCCCTGCATGCAGCTCATGTTTCCCATCAGGAACGGCACTCGAAAAAGCCGAAGGCTGGGTGTGAGCTGTTGAAGAATGTCTTTGGTCCCTGAAACGAATCGGGCCAATCAGTAATCGGCGAGCCGAAACAGGGCCATATTGTGCAGTAAGTTTGCACGCGATGTTTGGACCTCTCTATTGCGCGATAACGGATTGCCACTCGTTTGGATGTTCACCTGTTGTGCTATCCTTTACAGATGGAAAGTACCGTGCCGCTCAGGTCCTCGAGGCCGAGTCTCAGTCGCTGGTGACCAGAGACAGGATAGCTGTCACAAGACGACAGCTGTTTTGGCTCTGCTTCAGTCGGCCGGTCAGTTTGAGGCATGCATGCAGATGCAGCCCGTCTGCGCCGTTGGCGTTTTGCCTCTACACCTGAGTCAAATATGAAAATCCATTACAGATATTCTGTTGATTTAGCAAGAATAACTCGGGCTTTGTAGTAGAACGTGATTTTGTATGCAGCATTACGAAGGGTGCCGCGTTGCCGAGTGTGAGCGCCAATCGCTTTTTTACCGGCATACATCCGGGACCCACTCTTCCGTCCCGGCACCGCCAGCCGGAGCCGAGTCCGGCAGTTCGAAAGGGAAGCACCGATCTTGGATGATGACCTTCGAAGCGGTAGCCGGAGCAGATCACACATTCTTGGCTGTTCAGACCGACGCTTCTTTTAACTCTCTGATTTTCTTTGAATCCGCAATTTTGCGAGCAATTCAACCGGAATTGCACATCTGATTTTGAACCATCAAATGACACCGTCGAATTGCGGTGCTGTCATACTGATCTGGAGTCCCATGTTTCTCGCGAGCAATGATTAAGTTCAAATTAATACTAAAAACTCGACTTTTGGGTGGGCCCTGTGCGGACAATGCTACTCGACTTTCCGTACCTACTCAAGAAAATTTCACGAACAGCTTCCCGGCTGTGGGATGTGGAATGAAGTTGAAGTTCGGGGAGCAAGACGAAACAAGATGCATCTTAGGCCTTTTCCTCCCGGATCCCTCCCAATAGTCCATCAGTTCATCGCGGAGCTCCGACTTGTCCTTCACGTCATGCGTAATCTCAGGACCCTCATAGCCCAGGATCCATTCACAAAAGGCGGTCGGATCAGACCCCAAGAGCGGACCGTGGTAATAGCTGAGCTGCCAGTCTCGCTTCTGCAAAGTGATCGTCTTCAGCCTCGGACAATGGGCGGCGAGGAACTGGCAAACTTCTCCCATCTGGGACCTCATGCGCCACTCCAATCCGACGTGCTCGATTCTTTCGAGAAATGCGTTCTCAAGGGCCATCAGTGTGAAGATCCCTGTTTCCCAGTTGTCGAGGTGGAACAAGGTCTTGCCGAAATCTGCCCAGTAGACCCCGGACAGCGGCGGATGCTCTGCAATGCAGTGTCTTCTGTCATAGACCTTGTGGAGTAAGGACCAGGACTCTCTGTTGGTAAAGCCTGTGCGACACTCAGGCGGCGACTTGCTGATGCGGGTGAAGAATGGATCCCTCGCCTTTCTCTCTTCTTCCTCGTATCCGTAGAAGCAGTTCTTGTTGGCATACCACACGCATGGCGAGGCCGTGAGTGCTTCGATCCATATCATCTCTCGAAGCTCTGGCGGCAACTCCGGAAAACAGGTGAACGTAGTTAATGTCGTCATGTTGGGTATAGAAATGCTGGAACGAGATGACGAGACGCAAGTGTTGAGATACTAATTTCCAAGAGTTGAAAGAATGAGGAGCAGGATAGAGGTGCATGGATATTTCAGCGCAAGCTTTATGCTCGGAGGCTATGTGATGACCTTGGCACCTTGGCGGGTAGTTCCAAAATCCAAACTTAGATCACTAGATGGAGATGGTCTCCCCCTAACTCACTGCACCGCCATCTCCCGATCAACATCGACCCAGCTCTTCAAGCTGTTGGTATTCACAAACTCGCTCCGGTCAAGTCGCGACAATGCCCTCGTGAAATCGCGCATGTACTCCGCAGCGCGCCGCGCAGGCCGCTCGTGGGCTTCAAAGGGGCAGTTGAGCAGTGTCACTGCCACATCCCGCACCTTGTACGTCTGTCATCCACCAAAGTTAAGCTCTCACCCAAAACGGTACATCAAGGTGACAGGGTTCACGTACCAGATACAGCCCATTCGGCTCGAGGTAGACGTACGGAATGCTATGCAACAAGTGCAGCAGCTGCCGACAAATGTCCTCCCTCTCAGCCCAGTTCGCCTTCAACGCCGCCGCCACATCCTCACCCGCCATCGCGGCGTTCGGCCCGATCGCGCTCTCCTGCAACACCACATCAATCTGCTCCAGCAGTATGCTCTGCAGCCACAGATGCGTAACATGCAAATTCGCCCGCATGATGTCCGCCTGGCCCTGGGCGATCCTCGAGTGGTCCACCACCCGGCTCTGCATCTCCGCGGCAGGGCTATCGTAGCTCGACACCGCAGGCTGGCTGTCCCCGCCACACGGCGTGACGGGCGCCTCGTAGCTGTCCGCTGACGCCCACTGGCGCATCGGCCCCGGCGCGTCGTCGAGCATGTACCGCAGCTCGGCGAGCAGGTCGCGCAGGCGGGCGAGGCGGACGGCGGCGCCGCGGCGGAGCTCGCACTCGCAGCCGACGGTGGTCATGGCCTCGCGGAGGCCCTTGAGGAAGACACGGGAGTGGAGGTTGAAGGCGCTGGTGAGCGTGAGCTGCGGCGGGCGCGGCGGGTCTTGGGCGCCGGGTGTGCCGGGGGAGATCATGGGCGGGACGGAGGGCACGATGCGCGTTTCGAAGATTTGCTCGTCGTCGACGGCGAGGGGCATCAGGGCTTCGAAGTTGACTTCGCGGAGGTCGTTGGGGTGGAAGTAGGTGAGGTGTTCTGAGCGGCCGCTTTGGACTTTGGTGTGGCTTGTGAGGTGTTAGTTGTGTTAGTTTGAGAATAGCTGAGGAAAGTACATACGCCCAAGCGTAAAACAGAAGCCAAAACGCCTTCTTTCGGAGTTGTGTCTCGATGCAGTTGAGCCCGTCGTAGTCTGAGATGCGATGAAGCCCGAGTAGCCTCCCAAGCTGCATGAACTCGATATCAAACATCCTACTCCTGTTTGCCTGCCCGGTCTGGAAGCATGCTACTGAGAGCACATACGAGACGGCCCATTTTCGTGAGTTAATCTGATCAAAGTACGTCGCATCTCTCAGTCGTGTAGCCATCTCAGCACAGCAGTTGATGAACGCCGTGCGCGTCTCGAAGCGGATACCGACTTCAGGATCAACGGCCCGGTACACCCTGAACCGCGACGGCAGCAGCCCTACAGTGAGAGCCACGAGACTCATCAGCAGCGCAAAAAAGTCACGGTCCGTGAGATCGCGGTTGCTGGCGAGGTCGTGGCGGAAGGTCGGCCGGTGGACGACGGGCACCAGGGGGTAGACCAGGTCGAGGTAGTCGGCCATCATGATGTTGATGAGCGCCCTGGAGCAGACCTCATCTGTCGGAAACCCCTGGCCGGATATCGACGGCGACTCGGTGTGTGCTGCTGCTGCGACTCCTGTGCGAGGTGACGGGCCGCTGAGGACCGCATGCGAGGTATCGTATGGCGATCTAGCCTGCGACACCCTCGGAAGACGAGGGCCATCCTCAGCAGGCAAGACCAGGACCGGCTCATGGTTCAAGGACCGCGAGACCGGTCTTTCTGCCTGTGACTGCGCCGGTGTCTCAGTCTCGTTTGCCGGCCCGATGTCACTCTTATCCGACATTGAAGCGAGCCTCTTCCTACAAGGATGTAAGTACACATTGCATACACAGAAATATGTAACATCAATCCCTCCCCCCAAATGCTCCCCATGCTTTTGCTACCCCAGATCAAATGGGCTCACCTTCGCTTCGGACCCCTCGGCCTCGTGGGCACAAGGAAGCTACAAGAGATCCCGAGCCGGATGCAATCGCGGCACTGCGCCCCGGGACTCTGCGCATCCTCTTCAAAGTGGCATTTCCTCCTACGGGCCCGACACGCATCGCAGGCCCTGCTAGCCAAGCTCGCCCTGCTGCTAGTACTCGGACCGACTGCTACCGCGGCGGCGGCAGCCGGCGTCTCGGGCGTCTTGCTGCTACTGTCGCTTCCCCTCCTCCTCCCGCTACTCCGCGCCGTAGACGATGACACTGACGTTGATCGACGCATGCTGTAAGTCACCGGCGACCCATCGTGGGGGTGGGAATCATGGGGTATGAAACCCGAGAGCGTGGTTCGTTGCTTCGGCGAAATGGGCGGCGATATTTTTTGAGGGGGAGAAATAGCAGAGTTTGGTTTTCTTGGGGTTGAAGAATGCGGAGAATTGGGGGCCTTTTTAGTGCTTTTGCTAGTTTTTTCCTTCTTTCTTCTCCAAAGTAATCCCCCCGGCGAGTATTTCCGGGGTCCCCAGTTACTTAGCCCGGATTTCCACTTTGTTGGTCACTTGACATGGGATGGTGGTCTTTGTGGAGAGGATCGGGTGATGGGAGGGAGGGGCCTTGTTGGGGGGAGAATCGGACGGTTTCCGAAGTGGCTTGAGTCGAGTGCGGAAAGGGGCGTTTGTGATGGCGGAAATAGATACTTCCATAGCCAGGCAAATTGCGTCTGCCGGTTGAGAATGCCATAACGTCAAGTTTGGACAGAATTTTTTAAGTCTAATTCGTGATGGGTTCATTACAATGTACAGTCATTCCACCAAGCACCTTCGCATGATGTCTAATTTCTGGAGTGATGCCCCCGTCTAAGCCCGCAGACCGCTCCATCTCCTCGTCTTCTCTACAGAAACAGACCCCTCCAAGAACTCGCCGCGACTGCTCGTACCAACCAGGATGCCATACTTGCCCGCATCGCTGCGCCAGCAGTCCTCCATCTCGGCCCAGTAGCTCGTCGCGCGCAGGAGATCCAGCGTGACCTCCGCCGTGGCGCTCGCGCCCGCCTCGAGGGTGACCTTGGAGAAGCCCTTGAGCTCCTTGGCCGGGCGCGTGATGGTGTCGCGGATGGAGCTCGTGAGCGGCGTCGGCGCCGCGGGCGTGACGTAGACCTGCACGACCTCGGCGCCTGCGCGGGAGCCGGTGTTGGTGACCTTGACGCGGACGGTGACGCTCTTGTCTGCGTCTTGCGAGACGGAGAGGTCGGAGACGGCGAAGGTGGTGTACGAGAGGCCGTGGCCGAAGGGGAAGAGGGGCGTGATGTCGAGGGTATCGTACCAGCGGTAGCCGACGTAGACGTCTTCGCTGTAGAGCACGCGGCCGTTGTCGGAGCGGAAGTTGAGGGCGGCGGGGTTGTCCTGGACGCGGCGGGGCATTGTGAGAGGGAGCTTTCCGGCCTGCGTGATGGTTGATTAGTGCCTACACCTTGACTGTTGATAATGGAGAAATCGCTTACCGGGTTGACTTCTCCGAAGAGCACGTCGGCAATGCCGTTGCCGCACTCGTTACCGCCGAACCAAGCTTGAACAACCGCGCCAGCCTGGTCAATCCAAGGCATGGCAACAGGCGTGCCGCTCTGGATGACTACAGCAGTGTTGGGGTTGGCAGCAACCACAGCCGCGATCAAGTCGTCAGTGCCAGGGGGCAGTGCCATGTGAGTACGGTCGAAGCCCTCAGACTCCCACTCGCCGCTGAGGCCAGCACAGATGACGACCTGGTCAACGCTCTTGGCGACGTCGACGGCCTCCTGGATCGCGGTCTTGGGCTCAAGTCTTGGGCATCCGGCGAAGCGCACACCTCCCTGGCCGAAGTCGACCGTGCCGGAGGGCTTGATCTTGCTGGTGGCCGAGCATCCGAAGCGCACGAGCACGCGGTAGTCCTTTCCGGCTTCCAGGTGCATGCGTCCCGTCTCCTCGACGGTACCGCAGCCAAGGAAGCTGTTGCCCAGACGCTGGTTCTCCACGTTGGAGACGACCAGCTTGCCGTCGATGTACAGCTCGCCGGTGCCGTGGACAGACAAACCGAAATCCCACTCGCCAGATCGCTCAGGGGTGAGGATTCCCTCCGTCTCGGCCCACCAGAGCGGGTTAAGGTCGGCGTTCTCGTAGTCGACGAACCAGATGTTGGCGTCGTCGAGGACGCGCTCCTCGAGCGCCTTGCGGGCGTCGGCGGCCCCGTTGGCAGCGGGCGGGTCGTTGTAGATACGCAGGACGAAGCCCTTCTGCTTGCCGTCCGGCGTGCGCAGGTTCTTGCCAAGGAGAGGCAGGGACTGGTGACCGTACGCGCCCTGGGAGAAGACGACGTCGCTGGCGAGGCCCTTGATGCCCTCCAAGGGGGTGACGGTCTTGTAGGCCCTGAGACCGGCGCTGCCGCCGCCGCAGTATGTCGCGATGGTGGAGTTGGGGCCGATCACGGCGACCTTTTTGGTCTTGTCGAAGGGCAGGATGTTTCTCTCGTTCTTCAGGAGAACCAGAGACTTGGCTGCTGCCTCACGTAGCAGGGCAATGTGCTCGGGGATGTTGGCCTCGGTTTCCGGGGCATTTGGAGGGATCTTGGTGTTCTCCAGGCCGTGCTTGACGAGCTTCAAGATGTTGCGCACGGCAGAGTCCAGCACGGACTTCTTGACCTTGTTCGCGGTGACCGCGTGGGCGAGGGTCTCGCCACGCCAGCGGGTCGGGCCAGGCATCTCGAGGTCGAGGCCGGCGTTGATGGCCTCGGATGTGCTGTAGGTGCCGAACCAGTCGCTCATGACCAGACCGTCCCATTTCCAGTCGTCGCGCAAGACGTCTTGCAGGATGTGCTTGTTCTCGGCGGCATGGTGGCCGTTGAGCTGGCTGTAGGAGGTCATGATGGCCCTCGGCTTGCCCATCTCGATGGCGATCATGAAGGGAAGCAGGTAGATTTCCCTCATAGCGCGCTCTGTGACGATGGCGTTCACGGCCATGCGCTCGCTCTCCATGTCGTTGCAGACGTAGTGCTTCAGGGTGGCAGAGACGCCAGACTCTTGCACTCCGTTTACATAGTGGCCGGCGAGGATACCCGATAGGACGGGGTCTTCAGAGTAGGACTCGAAGCCGCGGCCGCCGAGAGGGCTGCGCTGGATGTTCACCGTAGGCCCGAGAAGGACGTGGGCGCCCTTTGCATGGGCTTCATCTGATAGCAGGCCTCCCAGACGCTTGACGAGTTCTGTGTCGAATGTCGCGCCGATGGCCGTGCCGCAGGGAAGGCATGCGGAGGGAGTGCTGTCGAAGAAGTGAGTGCCGCGCACGCCGTTAGGGCCGTCGGAGAGACGGATCGGGTTGATGCCCAGACGCTCAATGGTTTGTGTATGCCACCATCCGTTGCCTGGAATATGGTTAAGAGGTGATCTGAGCAAAACTTCTCAAGAGGCTTACCAGCTGTGAGGGCCACCTTCTCCTCCAGAGTGAGCTGCTCGAGCAGCGCTTCGACATCCATCGTGACGTTCTGCTGGTGGGAGGTCTCTGAAAGAGTTCGGATGAGGGACAAAACAGATGAGAGCTCCGTATCAAACTCAAGGAAACACGAGCAGAGAAACACTGCTTGGAGAAAAGAGGGAAATGCGCAATTCGATCGACACTCTTCTTTATTCCTGGAGCACGCGGGGAGCTCTCCAGACCCGTCGCAACCGCGGGGTTCCTGGCCCACACATGGAGGGCATCAATTGAGCTCCGACAAGCATGACGTATTTTCACTTGCAGCAATGTTGCAACGAGGAGACAACTGGGTCCTGCAGTCCTGTGTGTCCACCTTGTCCGAGGCCGTCGCGTGGGAAGTGAGCCGACGCGACGGGTCACGATGGCAGCAGAGTGTTTGAAGAGTGAAGAGGCGGAGAAATACGAGTCGGTCAGGAATCCGACCAAGATCCCTTCGGCATGTGGATCAACTGCACGGACCATTATCCAGTCCTAGTGTCAATAGTCAATTCGCCAAAAGGGAAGCCAAAAGCGCATTTCTCCGCCTCAGTCTTCCGTCTTCAACTCCCGACTCTCGACACCATTGCTCCCACCATCACGATACACCAAACTGACTCAATTCTCCGCCTTCAGATCATGCTTTGTTGCTCCTGTTCTCTGGCAACAACACGAATCGATTCCCACTTTGTATCATCTGCCATGTGGGTCGTATGGGCCCCCGCGGATGCTATCCTGGAGGCGCGCTTCTTCTCCATGGGGGGCGCAACATTAGACAAGTCTGGCCCCATGGGCCATGCACCATGCGTGTGAGCCGAGTTCTTCGTTCCGGACGAACACGCGACGACCGGGGCATCGGAATAGGGGACTCCACTCCTTCTTTTTTTCTCGGTTTGCCAAAGACCGTGCTCCTGAAATGATCATCGCCTTTTTTCCACGTAGGAGGAAACTTGTTGTATATAGACCTGGCCTGTCCCCCGGTGACATGCAGTTGGTGATGCATCCCGGTGTCACGGTCCTCACAGGCTCTCGTCCGAGTCCAGACAATTCAACAACGACCTCATAGCCCAGACCACACTACCTAATCCGTGAAGCATCTCCTCTACCCCCTTTCTTTGTTGTCAAACGTTACCCGCGACTCTCGGGAGTTGTCCGAACACCATCACAGTCAACATGGGGAAACCAGTCGAAGAGCTTGACAGCCTGCCGAGCGATGGCAAGCCGTGGTGGAAGCATGGCTACTTGGTGAAGCTCAACTTCATCACCACGTCCATGATCTTGTTCTGTATGTAGAATACCGTGTTCTATTAACCACCCTTTGTTCCTCGCAACTAACCACCAACAACCCCAGCGTCCGCCAACGGTTACGATGGAGGTATCATGGGCGGTCTCCTCGCCCTGAACACATGGAACACCTTCATGGATTTTCCCACCGGCGCCTACCTCGGCTGGATCGGCGCCATCTACTGGCTCGGAAACGGCGTCGCCTTCCCCGTCGCCGCCTGGGTCTCCAACCGCTGGGGCCGCAAGCCCGGCATCTACCTGGGCTACCTCTTCCTCATCCTCGGCGTCGGCATGCAGACGGCCGCCCAGAACGAGAAGACCTTCACCATCTCCCGTCTCTTCATCGGAATCGCCGCCTCCTGGCTCGGAAACGCCGCGCCGCTGTTGATCAACGAGATCGCCCACCCGAAGCAGCGCTCCATCGCCAACGCTCTCTTCATGGTTGGCTGGTAGTACGTTTACAACCCCTGGATCCGTTGTTCTGCGAAAGACGATGCTAACTGGGATGTGATATAGCTTCGGCGGAACTTTGGTCGGCTGGATCGTCTTTGCCTGCCGTGACATCCCCTCCGAATGGTCCTGGCGCATCCCCGTCCTTCTGCAGATCGTCCTCCCCTTCGTTGCGCTCCCCGGCTTCCTGATGTCCCCCGAGAGTCCTCGCTGGCTCATCAGCGTCGGCCGCGTCGAGGAGGCCACCGAGGTGCTCGCGAAGCACCACGCCGGCGGCGACCGATCCAACCCCCTCGTCCAGTACCAGGTCGTCGAGATCCAGGCCACCATCAACGCCGAGAAGGAGGCTTCCGCCAGCGCGTCCTACGCCGACATGATCAAGACCCCCGGCAACCGCCACAGGCTCTTCATCTCGATTACACTCGGTGTCTTCGCCCAGTGGGCTGGTAAGTTGTTCCATTTCAAAGCTGGTCCTTCAGGGCCCTTGCTGACCAGATGCTCTCAGGAAACGGCGTCGTTTCCTACTACCTGCCCCTTGTGCTCAACTCCGTCGGCGTCACCTCGACCACGAACCAGACTCTCATCTCCGCCTGCTTAAACGTGTGGAACCTCCTCTGGGCCATCGCCGCCGCGACCAATGTCGACCGTCTCGGACGCCGCTTCCTCTTCTTGACCTCCGCCAGCGTCATGCTGACCAGTTTCATCATCGTCACCGGCCTCAGCGCCAAGTTCGCCGAAACCGCCTCCTCGAGCGTCGGCATGGCCGTCATCCCCTTCCTGTTCATCTTCTTCGCCGGCTACGACATTGCCATGTAAGTCCCCGGACGCAACCCACCCCTTTCTACCTTCATAACTAACACACCGCAGGACCCCCTTCCTGACCGCCTACCCCTGCGAAATCTGGCAGTACAGCCTGCGCTCCCGCGGCCTCACCGTAACCTGGTGCGCCAGCGTCACCGCCATCTTCATCAACACCTTCGTCAACCCCATCGCGCTCGAGGCAATCGCCTGGAAGTACTACATCGTCTTCATCGTCGTGCTCTTCTGCCTGCTCATCGTGTCCTACCTGTACTACCCCGAGACGCGCGGCCACACGCTCGAGCAGATCGCGGTCATCTTCGACGGCGACAGCGCCGCAGCGCCGCCGCCGGCGGTGACGAGTGAGAAGATGGAGGTTATGGTTACGCATGGCGACGAGTCGGATAAGAGGCAGGAGTTCCAGAGCGATGCGGAGCATAGGGTTTAAGGGTTTAATGAGTTGATGTGGTATTGGTTTTCGATGAATGTGGTCTGGAGGAACAAAATCTACGAATATTAGTGTAATTGAGATATCCCTGATGTCTAGTCTATGCTTCACGAATCGCACATCGCTATGATGCAGGTTTTCATCGCAATGATACCTTGGAGCCTATCGCGATTCAGCCTTACCAGTAATTCAATGTTCTTGGTAATCAGGAAACTTGCCTACAGTTTTTCCATTTTTTGCACACGCTATGTGAGCATGCGATAGGCTTTTTTTGATTGGATCCTATCAGCTCAAGCCTGTCATATGCATCTGAGTGGCTGAGCACTGCCTCCCGGAGATCACGAAGTGCATACCCCTCACTTGATCAAATCAGGCTGAGTAAAATCTTTACTTCTTTATTCCGATTCTTCTCTCATTTCCTTCCGCTCGTTGTTCTGTTGAAGGTCCCGTCATCTCAGATCACCTTGCGTGTGGTGTTTCCGAGCGGCACAGCATACCATGTCTATCCGACTGATCGACGTTCAGACGCTACGACTCAAGTCATTCAACAGTCAAAAGGCACCTCCATATGCCGTTCTATCGCATACCTGGGTCGAGGATGAAGAAGTCAGCTTCCAAGAGATGTGCCAGATGGCCGTGGAGCCCAACCACCCAGCGACACGGACGTCCGGGTATCGTAAGATCTGGGAAACTTGCCGTGTGAGCTTATCCTATGGACTCAACTATGCCTGGGTGGACACTTGCTGCATCGACAAGTCAAGCAGCGCCGAACTGAGCGAAGCCATCAATTCCATGTTTCGCTGGTATCGGGACGCGAAAGTGTGCTTTGCATACTTGAGCGACTACTCTTTCCTCGGCTCCGGCCATGCGTGGAAGATGAAAGATTGCAAATGGTTCACCCGTGGCTGGTGTCTTCAAGAGTTGATAGCCCCAAAGGAGCTGATATTCTACGACAAGGACTGGAAGGAATCTGGTTCAAAGTCCGAACTGGAAGAATTGGTCGCGTGGGTCACACGCATAGACCGGGCCGTCCTCGAAGACCACAAGGCCATGTATCTGTTACCCGTTGCCCAAAGAATGTCCTGGGCGTCGAGTCGGATCACCACCCGCGTGGAAGACATTGCGTATTGTCTCCTGGGGATATTTGACATTCACATGCCCATGCTGTACGGCGAAGGCGAAAAAGCATTTTTGAGACTGCAAGAGGAGATCATCCGGCGCCTCAACGACACATCAGTCTTTCTGTTCTCTCCGAAGGCGCCGGACTCGACCTCTTTCTCCCCACCAGAAGCCATGCAAATCAGTGCGGGCGTCGACTCGACGGATGAAACCTCGGAAACTTCGAAAGACGGCGGTCTGAAATCTGCAGCCATGAACACTTATCTCAACGAATTATCCGGCTATCAATTCTGCAGCATGTTCGCCAACTCACCTGCAGACTTCAGCACCTGCGGAGACATTGTACACAAACATGGTTCCCGGGCTCCGATTGACAGACAAGCATTCTCCGTAACCAATCGAGGCATTCAACTTGGCAAGCAAATCTTGTGGTACGACTGGGGGCACAAACACTGCTTCATTTGGGACACTGCGTTCCGCCACTCCAATCACGTTAGTAGTTGGATATATGGGGCTATATTTCTTCGGAAAATTGGACGTAACCTTTTTGCCAGGGTACTGTTACCTGAGGCACAAATAAATGTGGCACGGTATATCTTCCACGAGGACATTTGCGTCCTCCTCCATATCACACCCTCGACTCAGTACCAGATACACGAAACTCTCAAGACAGTCTTACAGATCGATGTCAAGAATGAAATCGGCCCAGATCCGAATGTCTCTCTTTCACAACCAACACCCATGGATATCTGGGATGCGTCTCAGAAGCTTTTTCTTTTCCCTGAAAACTTTTACAGCACTCATCGTTTCTCTCTCGGTGTCAACTCTTTTACTAGATCCGTTCGAGTCACTGTTACCAGGGGTGTCTTAAAGAAAGTGGACTTCTATTTGCGATTTCTGATCGGGTATACATACCTCGATTCCGGAGGAGCCTATGTTTTACTAAGTAAAGATCCGGCATCGACGTATAGGAGGTCATACGCGGATGATGACGAGTTGTTTGATGAACATTTGAACACGGCCCTAGACGATGGAAAATTGTCAGCTCGATCACATCTGTCCTTTGACGGCATCACTGTAGATGCTCATATCTACCATGAAAAAGTTCTTTTTTCGAGGTCTCAGGTCTACATATGTTCAGTGGAGATCAACCGAAGCCAAGATAAAGACATCAGCAGCTGGAAATGATCAGAATATTCTTTGCATTATCAGTAGATAGAGTTGTGTCTTCCTTGATTAGCGACCTACTTTTCATCCTAGGTCTATTCCATCCTTCACTTGCATCAATCCCAGCAAAAGCGGTGATCTCAATTTTCTTCCCACAAATTCTACGTCGTATTCGACTTGTCTATTCTCGCTAGAAGAACCAACAACTCCAAACATTGCTGTCCCTGACTACTCCCAAGTCCTACGGCACAGACCGCTGGTTCCTCTCACTGGTCGTTGTCATTCAAGGCTTTGACGCTCTGGAGAACCATAGCGCGGTGGAGTACGTCCTGTAATCATACGGACCGCCAACACCGGAGATGTATGGAGGCGATGTGGCAGACAATGCTTGCTGTTTTCCCCTGCAGGGCAGGTGCTTCAACTCTTCGGGTTTCCAAGGCGAAAGCTACCCCTAGCATACCTTTGACTTTGCCATACCCTAAAGCAGCGAACTATCGAGTTCACTCGCAAGACTCTTCGCCATGATATGACCACACAAAGGGGCAGGCTAGACATAAAGTCTAGGTCACTGAAACAATCACTCAATTTGATCGCAGCACAATTATTGGCGACATGATTGCCGCGTTTCGGAAGGGACATCGACGACCCTTTCTTGTACGTTAGTCCCCCTGAAGATAATTAGGTTGGGCTCGGCTAACTTCGTCCAGCTTATTCTCGTGGCCAGTGTGCCCCCAGGAGCGTTTCAACGCATGAGGTTCAAACGAAAGGCCGTAAACACTGGTATCTCTATATCTTAGTTCGTAATATATGTTACCAGACGCTAACATGGTGTTCTCTCACAGGGGCTAGCATCTATACATGATCCTTATCCATGTGTTCAACATCTCGTCCAAGCACAGCCACACAGCCAACCCTAAACTCTGCCTCGAGATACGGTACGAAATTCGCATCTCAACACCACCAATAGCTCTTACCATTGGCATGAGATCTTTTCCTTATGGACTGACTAGCACCTTGAATACACTATTAGGGCTAGGATATACTCTCTGGTGCTTTGGGGAAAGAACGCTGGATCGCAAGCTCGTTTGAATTGGCACCACACAGCTCGGAGATTGCGCTCAAGATCCGCCGCCTCGAGTGCGGGAACGGCAATATTGCGAACAAACTACGCAGCCGCTGACCCTCAACGTGCGACCGCGAGCTTCATGTAACCAAGCTCCCAACGCACATCACAGCAACGAACACGAACACCTCCAAAAATAGACAGCCGCTGATCTCCGGGAAGGTCATATCACATCATCACACGCAGCACCTTAAAACACCCATGGAAGGCACGTCGAAGGACCGAAAGAAGACTCTGAAACGCGTGGGGCCGTCTTCACCCTGGGCCTGGCCTGTGACGCTGCACCTCAGCTGTCTCTCGTCACCGAACCAATGTCACCACATCTCTCGAGACAGCCGAGACAGCCAATCACCAGCCAGCGCAGCCAGCCAAGCAAATTGATCAGCCGCTGTTTCAAACACCATGCCTGCCGTCCAGGGGGGAAAGGGGGAAAAAGCAGGGCTTCCAGCTTCTCTCATTTCCCCTTTGGATGCGAGGTTTCAGCGGCAACCGTTGTTTCTAAATCTGGTATCAGATTGTGTTCCTGGTCCTCTGTCGATTCGAAACACACCGAACGGAGCGGCTTCGTGGTTTTAGGTCGGAGATTTATGGTGAGGGTTTACAAGGGGAGGGGGAGACCAACCACGCGGGGCGGGGGACTGGTGAGATGCGTGGATGTGGTTGGAGGAGGCGCTGGAGGGAAACGCTTCGCTCGTGTCACGACCACGGCCGAGATGGGCGAATTTGGCAAGTCGACTTGCATTCTGTTTATTTGTTATTTCTCTTCATATGCGAGAACCGCGCTCGCGACGCTTGCTGCATACAGCCAGTCAGAGCAGACAGGATTGGGCTCTGGCGTGAAAGCGGGAATTCGAGAGAGACATGGGGAGGGCGAGCCCGTCGCATTCGTAGTGGTTCCGGGTAGACGTGCGTGCGTCTTAGACAGCGATGCTAATGTACGGTACACTCGTAGCGGCCGTCTGATATGAGGAAATAGGGTTGTATGGTGGTTTTGTGGTCTTCTACACCGCTAGATGAGATGATGGATAGGTGGTTTTGATCAACCAGACATCTCCCAGCCTGATGTTCGTCTGGAATCGTTCCGGCATGATCCCCGCTTGATATCCCCTCATCCATGTACCGAAAGCCTCGAAGATGTCCTTTGCGACCTCTTCGCTACGAGCTAGCCACAAAGCCCATCACCGCCTAATCGCAAACCGCCGCGAATTCTGCAAAACCGACCAAAAGCACAACTATCCAATTCCTCCAGCGTCCAAAGTGCAAAAAACCCCAACCAACCCCACCAAAGCAAAAAAGTAGAAGTACAACACACGAACTCGCCGGCGCTTAACCACTTCCCCCGCCCATCCAATCACGTCCCCTCCTGCCCCTCTGGCACGGTAAACCCCCCCGGTTCCCTCCCGCGTCCCCGTCCAGTCACCGGGCCCGCTACCTGCGGGAGCGCAACACAGAAGAACACTAAGCCACCCCTGCCCGTGGGAGGTGGCCAATCAGCGCGCCGGGCACCACCGAACTGGAGGAGTGAGGAAAAAACGTCGGCGCTTAAAGGCAGTGTCCGGGATACCGGGTCCTTGCGCAGGGCAGGGCAGGGCAGGTTGATGAGTCTGGACTTTTCTTTTGCGTGGCTGCTTTAAGGCCTTTCGCGCACTCTGCTCTGAGTCTGCAGCGATGTAAAGTCTTTTCTGTGTGGTTTTGCATGCTTGGTACTTTTCCCTCTGTCGTGGACGGCGAACTACTGCTTACTTCACTTACACCAGCTTCCATGTGTACATGAGTGGGCGCTTTTAGCAGAGGATGGTGGTGAGGGAAACGAGTGGCTCAGCGCTCTCAATCTCAACCGCGAACAGCTGCAAGACATTCTTCCCATTCGCAAGAGGAAGGGTGGCCAAAGACGGAGGAAGGGCGTGGGCGCATCCCCATGCTCCAGCTCCCGGCCAATCAAAGCTCACACACATACGTACATCAGCGCAGCGAATGCGATGGAAAGGGCCCCCAACATGAGCGTTTGCCGACGACTCTGGTCTACCTACACTCTCTTGGTCATCATGTCTGTTTCGCAGCAACCTACCTAGTAATGTGGACAGCACTACACTACACTGAAACCACAGGAGGTAGTCGCAGGTGTAGCAGGTTACGGTTACAGCCCATGGTGAAGCCTCGCAGCAACTCCAACGGCACACCAACATCACCCATCCATTTCCCCAAAGATCGACCACCATCACACTCTAAACTACTTACCTACCCATCGCCTCGTGTGCTTTCCCTGCTAACGAACACATCCCCTTCCATTTAAAACACCTGGAATTCCGATTACATGCCCATCCAAAATGAGACACAAAATGCGGGAGTGCGCGGAATGGTTCCCCTCCCCGCTTGGTCACCACTAACACACCAAACTACACGATTCTGATTTCTGACCTCCCCAACCTATAACAATGCCCAAACAATTTCAATTGTGTGTTGGTCCAAGCCACCTCTCTTGAAATATTGTCTGTTGGTGCCGACGCATTCAACCAGAAAACTTGCTCCTCCCGACTACCAACCTGTTGGTCCTCATTGTTTGCTTCCTACCGCCCGTGTTGGTCCTTCGCGTTTGCCCGATGTTGGTGCTGTCTGTTGGTGGTCAGAGCTTCTTTCTTCCAGGTCACTTGAGATCAACTCCATGTTTGCAAGGAACCAACAACAACTACACTTGTGATTATTTTTGGAGCATGCCTCTTGTATCCTGAAAATCTGCCCATCGCCATGTCCACCGCCTCTGGGCCGGGTCACCATCGCGGCCGGGGGTTCCAGGGCCCCACAACAACACGGGGGCAACGCAGGGCCGCATCCACGGCCGCGCTGCACGAACAAGCTGGCCGTGGAACGGTAAACAATCAACACGCACGCGGCGGTCAAGAAACGTGATGGATATACACAGTATGCTGATTAGGGCTACCTGGGGCGTGCTGCGTACTTGGACAAAAGTCTCCAACTCTCAATTGAGCCTCCTCCGCCCGCCCCTCTGTGTCTCTCTTCCCCCCGCCTACCAAAATACAAAGACAAGGGCATATTCCAGCCCTTTCCACCCCGCCTCCTATGGTT